GAAATTCTCAATACAAGCACAAGTCTCTCAAACAAACAAGTGAGCTGGCCTGAGCCCAGGCACGCTAGCTGTGAGGACTTCAAATGGGCTCCCAAGGCCCACAGACAATTAGGCCACGGAGACAGGGCTCCAGAGGCTCTGCTTCCTGCTGCCACTGACCTACATCCCTCTCTCTCTCTCTCACACTTTCTCTCTTCACACACAGCTCCTCTTTGTGTCAGCATCCTCCTTACCTGGTGCATGGACACAGGTTACTGGGTCCACAATATATTTTCTTTTTCTTTTGATAAAAATATATTTCACATATAGCTGAATATGCTAATATCTGTGCACACTCTGTGCACACAGCTTACTTCTTATTATACTTGTTTTGGCTAACAGCTAAGTTAAATTGTGTCTTAAATAGTATTATCACACAGTAGATTTGTATTACAATCAGCATTAGTCAGCAGCTGCCCTGGTGTAGAGTTGCCACCTATAGCCTCTCAGACCATTCATACATAGGCAGGTGAGCAACTTGCTGTCAGAGTTGAGACCGAACTGCTTACCCTTGGGGTGGAGGGCTATAAACTGTGTCTGCTCTGGGAATGGGACAATAAACAATATTATCACTAATTGGTCAACAATTGTTTGTGGTTCATAATCCAACCAAAAACTCAACAAAGATGCAATGCCATTCAACCATCAGAATGTGCAGTTAAAAAAAAAAGAAAATAGTTACTCATTTCATTGTTGTTTTCACTTATAAAGTACTATTTATTAAAGTGTTTTAAATGCAGAACACATTCATAATTGATAATGATGCTGATAATAATTACACAAAATTTGTCTCCTCTGTAGTACTTAGACAAATAAATAAGACTGGATCAGAATTTGCATGTATAAGGAGCATATGAAACAAATATTACAAGTCAGACACAATAAAGCTAAGTCATATAAACAGCCCCCTACAGAGGCCCAAAGAGGCAAAACAGGGACTATGAGGTCAACTAAATCAAAAGTGTTTATACCATACAGGCAATAAAATTCTTCCACCACTAGTCCCAGCTTTCTCCAGCACAACAACAGATTTAGAAATAACCCCAAACACTAAGAATCCCAGGATTTCTGCAGAGAACATAAATAACATTCTGCAATATGATCACTGTTGTTTTCTCTCCCTCACACACACACACACACACACACACACACACACACACACACACACACACACACACACACACACACACACACACACACACACACACACACACACACACACACACACAAGCTTCAGGCCAAAACACAGATAGATGCTGTGTAGCAGTGAGCAGGTCAAGTCGAGGTCCCCTTCAGTAGCCCAGGGTTATGGGAAAGGGATGGGCAACGAAGTCCATGCTATGAAGCAACAGTTCAGAAAGCTTGTTAGGTCTTGATGCAAATTACTAAGATGCATTAAAGGTGCAGTTGTAATTTTTGGTGTAGGGTCCATCACTTGCTTGTTTCTATGTATTTGTCATTGCTCTGCCTGGAATCCACAGTATGGCATTAAACAGTGCTACCTTACATTTATTCAATTACAGGTGGTTTTAATACTCAAACATATGTAGAAAAACAGGTGTGTGACTGTGAGCTGAGTTGCCTGTCCATGGATCTGACCTGTAACTTAGTCTGTTTTGGTCTCCGTGAAGATAGAAATGTTCAATATACTATGAAACATTCCAGACAAAGCAATAACATCTCCATGGAGAAAAGCTTTAGATGGACACTCCACCAGAAAAGTTACACAATGCACCTATGTCTAAATCTAAGTCTATATTTCTGTAAGGAAAGTGTTTTATATATAGTGAAACTAAGAAGTATGAACCCACAATTGCTTATTCATTGCCTAAGCTGTGTAAGATTCATTATCCAATTGAGTCACATATTTCAAACTGAAGCTCACTGACCCGTGAGATTGTCACAGAGACACTGGATCAGAGTGGGAGGGATTGTGTGTTAGCTTTGCCTAGTGCAGCACTCTTCCTGCTTTTCCCTGCAATAACTCAATAACTTCCAGATGTCAAGACGATAAACAAATGGATCATCATAACCTTATAAAAATGTGAAGCATCCAGAAGCACTCTTAATCTGTCTGTGATTCAAACACAGCTTTTAGCAACAGACTGTAAAAAATATTTACTTAATTAAGTCATGTCTAAAAGTACAACCAAATTTCACTCAATGGGCATTGTGCACTGCTTTCCCTTTCCTTAGGAAAAAAAAAAGTAAAATGTCAATTGGAATATACAGGAAGACCAAACACAAGGCTTTGGACTCACTGACCTCATAAAAACATCTTTAAAACTGCAGACTGTTTCTTTAGAGTAAGGTAAGATGCTAGATGTAATCTAAAATTGACATCCCAGGGGCATTCATGTTTCTGGTCATGGTCCCACTCCCAACATAAATGACATTCTGTTGAACTAACCTACCAAATGAAATCAGTGTGAAGAAAGGATTGTTCATGCCGTGACAACTGGAAAATACATCTTTGTACTAAAAGTGACAATTTACAATGATCTCAGCTTTCTACATGTGACTGTGTAGATGTTGGGAACTGTCTGAACAAATGCCAATGCCATGTATTCCATGTTGTAAGTACAACTGCTTCCCCCCCTTGCCTTGGCCCTCTGTCATCAGTTGCAGAGTAAGAGAGGAAGGGAATTTCAATCCCCACATCAAACGTGTGTGCTGCACTTTGAACATAATGTGTGTGCCGAGTGTGTGTGCCATTGTTGCTTGGTGTGATTGTGTCTAAATGGATCTCGTCTCCAGCTGTTGACTGGCATATGGGTGCCATACAGATTGATATGTGTGACTGTGTGTCTACACGTCCTCAGCTCGTGGGGAAAACCCAGCAGGCCCTCCGAGGCTTTGTGCCCACAGGAAGTATGACGGCAGCAAACATGGCAGAGGCTTAGCGCCATGGACGGCCTTGAGCATCTATTTTGCTGATGGCTTCTGTAAACAAAGAGCCAACAAATCTGGAAATAATACAAGTAAATAAGAAACAGATCTAATTTCAGCAACTCTTTTTATCTTAATCAACTGTCCCAGGCCTGGCAGTGATGGCCTCGTCAGTAGCAGTGAGTTGCAGTGTCCAAGTCATTCCCTGTTTTCCCATGCAGCCTCATAGTCACAGTCTTTGTTTCCCTCCAGGCTTTGGGGGTCCCCACACAGGGCTATGCCCGACTCCACTGACTCCACAATGGCTCTTTATGCTGCCAAGGTCCACTCCCCTTCATTCCCCCCACATTGGCCTACCATGCCCCCCTCATCAGGGGCACCACCATACCAAAACGCCACCTCTTCTCATGCTTTGTCTGCTCCTCGCTCGGCTCATATACTTGCCAGCAGCGTCAGGTCTAGTGGAGGACTTCAGCTCCACACGCACAAGCCAATGTGAGCAGTTTATGAGAGGTGCCAAAAGTCTCAGCAGGAGGCTGTTTTCTTTTCAACCAAAGAACACATGACACCACAAGCAGAGACCCCATGCCCACCAGACTGTGCGATAAAACATGATTACCACTCATTAGTGCTGTTGTTGCAAGGAGCACAGAGGAGGAGGACACATTAAAGGTAATTATATGAATAGAAGCAGAGTATTTACATGAATGTGTACAAACTGTTCTCTTAACTCTGCACTTTGTTTGTCCTCTGACAAACTGTCATGAGCACTGATGAATGGGTGGTCTGCATAATGTGTCTCAGCCATTGGCAGATCATGAGCATTTGGGAAGGGTGGGACAGTACCAGGCCAAAACAACAGAACATAACAGAGCCGACCCAAAATAATGGGATTGTGAAATCTGCCAGACTACTAACATTTCTGACAACATGCTCCAAACCCCAAAGGATGACAGATTAGCATTTAGAGGATCTGATACTTAACAGGGAGTATATCTTTTTCAAGCAAAGGCCAAGGCTGGAACTACAGAGGGTGAAGGTTGCCATCATATGAGGCGCCGGGTTGGGGCTACCACAAAAGGAGAGCATAACCTTATCATAATTGTGGACTGAATGTTTAAAAATTAGATCCAGCAAAGGAATGGCTCACAGACTTTGGCTCAGTCCTCTGCCTCCTCTGTTCTGTGTCAATGGAAGCACAAAAGTTTACACGTACACACACTTGGAGAGAAAATTATGAGCAGACTGCAAAGCCGCACCTATAAATCAACCTAAAAAATTGTCATACATTAACCTAAAATATAATGTTAAAGCATATAGAACAAAGAGAAAAGATAAAAGTGGATCTAGATGCATAAGAGTTATTTGTTCAGCAAAGTTTTCCATTGTAGATAAGAATTTAATGATTTCCTTAAATGCACACAAAGGCCACCTGACAAATCATACCTTCCACTGTATTTATTATTCTGGCCTGTCTGTTTGAGCTTAGACTGTAGTTGCAAAAAAGTACAAAATGATCACTCAAGACATTATGCCTTCGTTCTGCTATTAAATTATGAACTTAAATTAAAACTAAGACGTGGATTGAAGATTTCATATTTTGTTCATTCTAAATTGCAATATTGATATAAAACAACTTATAGAAACAATTACTTCCTGTTCAACATAGAACTGATTCAACTCCAAGGAAGCTAATGACTTATGACATATTATTTCAAAATGTCATACACACAAGTCTGTCCATGGCCAAGCACCAGGCTGTACATCTCTGGTATGTTTGTGCCATATGAATCATCTCGTGCTCTGAGGACCTCAGGGACCGGCCTCCTGCTGGTGCCCAATGTTCAAATCCAGATTCAAAACAGTTCTGTGTAGGTGCGCATATGTCTGGAAAAATTTTATTCTGCACTCTTCTCTTTTAAAGTATATTTTATTATAATTACTTAAGTTTTTATTGTGGTTTTAATGTTTTGCTTATTCTGTAAAGCATTTTGTGTACAAATTGTGGTCTAGAAATAAACTTGCCATGCCGTGCCTTAGATGAAATCTGTAATTGAGTAATCAAGACTCACCTTTCCACCACGTCATCTCCGCTCCAGCATGTGGAGTCCCCGATGACGTTCTCCCTCTCACACAGCAGCTCTGGCAGGGCCGCAAAGAATGACCTGTATCGCCGCACATAGGTCAGGAACTCTCTGAGGACAGCCACAGGACACAAAAAAACTCATCAAAATCATATGCACCATTGAAATAGACACATTCAAACAAAACTGTGTGACTCTAATGCAGTAAGGCTCCATGCATGTGAGGCAGATGATTAGTGATGTTGGCACAAATATGGAGGCTTTAAATCGAGACACTTCACTGCGTCAGCACATTTTTGTTAGTGACAGATAAGCTGCATCAGATTCACGAGCATGTGTTCTCAAACATACTGTCATCCCGGCAAAACAATAGCAGCATATTAAGATTAGAAACACATTGCAGCCACCCATGAATCAATTGTGTTGTGAAGGGTAACACTGCTGCATGGCCAATAGCTTAAAATGTAAGTATTATTTATCACTATAAAAGCCAGCTTCCATATTTAATGTTAGTTGAAACTGACAATCTAAAGCTAACAGTTGGCAAGTCTTTATATCATTCTATTATGACTAAAACACTCCAGCCAGCAAAAAAGCGTTGTAGAGAACAAAATAATTGCATGACCATTTATTAGAATTAAAAGCAACATCCATCATATCTTTGTACGTTTTAATTATTCAAACTACATTACAGAAATTGCTACTGCTATCTAAGCCTGCAGCATAAGAGATAAAGACACCAGGGTTCATGCTTACCTAGACAATGTTCTCAGATCATGTTTATTGTTCTTGGAGGGTTTCAGGGGGAGCGAGCTGGGAATGATGGGAGTTGTAGTCCGAGCAAGCATGAAAGATGCAGAAGGATGAGACAGAGGTGATAGTGAAAGATGAAAGAGGGGGGAAGGGGAGAAGCAAACCAAAAAGAAAGCACAATGTGGAGGGAGAAGACAAAGTCAGTTGACCCTGGAAGAGAGTGATTGATCATGCACATGCTCCAACACTGAACAACACCTCAGCAAAACTCCTTTAAAACAGTAACTAAAAAAAATACACTTTACACGATGTCAACAGAATATCTGTAAAAACAGTTTTGCTTTATGATGTGTCATGCATTTAACAATAGACTGTGTTGTCTTGCTGCCTGTGAAGTGGTCTCAGTCACATGTGCTGGGCAGGCTTGGCACTGTGTAGGGAGTTGGACTATGCTGCCATGAATGGTGGTGGCAGTGCCAGCCCAGACCTGTTAGCCCTCTTGGCACGAGGACAGCGATTCATGGTTTAGGACAAGGTCGGGCAAACAGCACTACAACTGTGCCATTCGGTGTCAGGCCAGGCCGCTGTTCTGAGTTGGTGGTATGGATGTCTGGGTAAACAGGAAATTGTTGGTCTGTCAAGATAAATCTTCCCTAGCCCCCCTTTCATATGGCACAGCGCTGGCAGCTGCTGTGGGCATGGGATGTCTGCCCCAGAGGCCAGGGTGAGGGCACATGCTGCAGTCTGACACTGTAGGGATATGTCTTTGTGAAATGAAAAATCATTTATGTTTCATGTATTGTTTTAAGCCATATATTCTAAAAATCTATAATCAACATGAATCAAGTTATTCTGTGTTATGTTAGGATAGATGTTAATCAACATGTAATATGTACATTCTGTTACCTTCTTAAATGAGCTAACTTGTCCAGCCACTGTTCTGATAGAGGCTGGGAGGCAGATGGAGTAGCAGTAGACAGGTTCATGTTGGAGGTCGTGACCTCTGAGTGTGTAGGCTTAATGCCAGTGTGCTCTCTCGCAGACAGGCCACACACCTTGTCCACCTGTGGGGAACACAGAGCAGACACACACTTGTTAAGCTAAAAAAATCCAAAGGGTGGAGACTGTGGCTTCTATAAACCACTGAAACACACCTGCACAGATGAATGCACACACGTGGACACACAGATGCTCCCAGTTTAAAGAATGAATTTCTGCTGAATGATTGTGAATACAAAAAGTGAATTATGTGGAGTAGTTCATAACTGTGTGCAGAAGGTCTGTAGTCATGATAAAAGAGAATGTGTGACGAGTGACTTAGGGCAGGGGCCTGACAGTAAATGCAGAACATTCCACTACCTCATGGAGGTAGAGCACAGCACTCACATGGCAATAATAGCTCACCTCTTCAGTGGCCTATTACTACAGTAGGGCGTGTGGAGTGGAGATAGAGGCTGCTGAGTAAACGGGCGGGGCCTTCAACCAAAAGGCAAAATCAATGAGATCTCATTGGCTTAAAAGCCTCGAGCTGTGTTATTAAGTGGCCCTCAATTAACCAGCGTCAGCGTAATGGCTTTTGCACAAGGGATACTAATTCTGGATCAATGAGCATTCACCTTCTTTGACATTTTATATAATGCATTTACAGCAAGAACTAAATATTATCATGGGGGGACTTATGGATGGATTCAGAAATGCTTAATTATATTAGCTTTCTGATGTAGTTACATTGATTTTTACAAACACAGTATTAATGAGACATATCTGAAGTATACATGAAGTACTGGTAATAAAGTAAAAAATATCTATATTCAGACCAACCCATTACATATTACAGCCACAGCATACACTAAATATTAAAGCCGATGCAATATCACTGTAGTATATAATAAGTTTTTTGTAGAGGATTAGAATGTCTGATTAGATTGTATTTACACTGCACTTTTACTGCTAACAAATAGTTTCTAAATCCTTTAAAATCTGCCTTCAATCGGTGGCAGAATTTATCCTCCTTATAAATGCAGTTAATTGGGTTTTTTTATATAACTGGCTGGCCAGGCTCACAGTTTCTAACCAAATAACCACATTCCTTCATTTTGTTCTTTACGGCACCGTTAGCCTTTACTGCGCTGCTTCTGTCCTACTCCATCCACACTCCACTCAGGTCTTAAATCCTCTTTTAAGGCAGACGTTGGGCACGGGAAGGTTGTTTTATTGCATTAACCTTAACTCCCTGTGGGCGCATAAAACATGCTCACATGTGGTAGAGCGGCCCATAGCCACACGTGCACTCGGTACACACACTAGACTGTAACACACACCACATTGTCGCAGCGATAATAGATGGAACAGAGCAACTGTTTTGGCAAAGGCCCATATCAACACCTTGAGACAAATGCTACATGCATGTGGCCAAACTCTAAGTCTAACAGGTTTCAACTACATCAGGTATCATCAAGGACCTTTTTAACTTTGTCATTTTGGACATGACCCTTCTCATTTAAAATACTTGAGAAGCTGCACTCAGTCAGGTCAATTTTCATAAAATAAATAATCATTTGTTCCAATAGTGACCTCTTGAGGATGGATTCTGCGTCACTTTGGAAACAATAACTGACAAAAAGCGTATACCCTTGTATTACAATTTCCATATTCTCTTAACACATATAAAATGTCTTATTATGTTATTCAGAGCTACATTCTTTACATTTCCTAGTCCTTGTTATATTTATCAAAACATTTAAGCATACTAAACAATCAGACCATCAAACCAATGCAACCTCCCCCCCCAAAAAAACCCCAAAACAAAAAAAAAACAAAAAAAAACGATTAGTCAACATGAGGCCAAACAGTAAAAGTGACTGCCTGTCAAACTGCATTGCACTGGATGCATAAACCCACAAATAATACTTGTCACACAAGGCATTCCTGGGATTCACAACACATATTTAAGGCGGAATATAATCCCATGACATCATGTCCAGACAGCAGTGTCTGGGAGGTCTAAGCTCACTAAAATCACCAAAAAAGGTTATCTTTGTTCTGAAGCTGTGAAAAATGGGAACTGATTCTTCTTTAAGAGGCCAAGAGAAGTTGTATCTTAAGACAATTTCTCACCTCCCTTTGTGTGACACTGCTCTGTTCTCTGGCACAAGAATGTAAACATGCTGATAAAAAATGAACATAGAGCAGGGGGTCAGTCACAGTACTGTTTGCACTAATAGCTTTTAGACATTTTTGTCAAAGATGCACCCAACCCAAACAGCTCAAGACATTGTTTGGTGGATCCTTCTCAGGCTCATTATTGCAAAATGGAGACATACCTTTTTAGTCAAATCTTGTGACTGGGTAATCCCTCCAGCCAATCAACTGACAATATGAGTTAAAGCACGGACCAGTACATGGCCATAAATCAATTATCCGCTGAGCTGATGATGGCGTGAGAATGGAAACCCCATGAGGTTGCAGGGTCGTAGTCCGAGCACCTGTTTGTTCTTGTTATACCTTCACAATTTCAGCTATTCTGTTGAGCATTCCTTAAGTGAGAGCCTGTGGACACAGGCTGATGGGGTGGGAAAATGACTTGGATGTGTGTTGTTGACGTGTGATGACTTTGGGGAAACACAAGGCTTGTTATGTGTGTAAGCTAAGCGACGGACTAGCACAGCGTTTTTACCACTACGGCCGAGCATTTAGGACACGGATGCTGACAGGACAGGCTAAAACATTTACCTTATGTAGTCATAGCTCTGTACTGCTATGATATGCATGTGTGTTGCTGTGTAAAAGGAGCAGACACTCATGTCCGAGTAAGCTCTGCCTCCGGCCATCCTTCTTCCCTGGGAGTATTGGCTTACAGATAGCAGTGGTGGTCTTGTCTTCCCAGTTTATTTATCAAGGGATTACCCCGGAAGGCCAAGGGAACTTTCTCAGCCCCTCTCTCTACACAAGTGCATGGCATTACTTTTACTTTTATATCCTTATGATTGATCTCCACAAGCAACAGAATGCAAAGGTTAGAATAGTCCCTAGACTACACTTGTAGATGTAGTATACACCCTACTAACATTCATAACGCATTATTTATAATTCAAGTAGATATTGTAAGTATTGAATTCTAAACCTGTTTGATTTAGCCTTACTCAATAATGATTTTAAAGGTGCACAGTGCAACTTTTCTGGTGGAGAGTCTGTCACCTGGTTGTCATGGAGATGGTTTTTACTTTATCTGGAATGATGTATGGAAAAGACTTATCTATCTCCAAACCAAGCAGGTGGCAGAACCAGGGTAAGTTACAGGGTCAGATCTATGGACAGGCAAGCCAGCTCACAGTAACAATGCATGTCTTGCATGTCTTACTGTGAAGTCAGCTTATAAATCCAGAAGAATAGTGAGAGAGAAGTGAAAGTGTATCCAAATGTTACTGTTGGCTCCATATAACAAATAGATGGTTAAACAGACAATAAATTTGATTCCATAGCCCAAATGTGTTGAAGTAAGAAATGCTCTGCCCGGCTACATCAACAATTGCTGACCAAAAAAAACACATATGAACTGTAAAGTAGAAATCTAGTAAAATACGGTGTTAATGGAACATGAACATTTAGACATGCAAGTCACTGGAATTACAACATGAACTGGGCTGCATTCCCTCCCTTTAAGTTTCCGCTAATGTCAAGTACATTCAATTTAATCTAATATTGTTATACAGCCTGTTTACCCAAGGGCCATGTTCTGTCTGGACGCACCACTCAGGAAGTAGTTTGATTAGTTGGCAGCTTATTTATTTTTAATTATTTCTTTCATGTAAACCCATGACCCCAATTGTGCCTCAAACCACTGCTGTTTTCTGTTGAGTAGCATAATAAGTACCAATTATCATCTGTCAACATCTCCGATTCTATAAAGCAAAGTCGTTTTCTTTTTCCTCTCCACAGTAGTAATCTCAACATACATCGCGTATACAATTTTTATATTATGTTACAGTGGCCGGTGATGAGAAGAATGGATACATTTACTTGTGGTGGGGATGTCGGGGTTAAGGATGCAGGCTAGTCACTGGAATACTGCCAGTTTAAACCATGAAACCATATGGGAAAATCGAGGTGGGTTAAGGAAATAAAACAGTCTCTCGTGGCTATGTTTTTAATTAAGAGAGAAAGCTGCTGGCTTGCTGAGTTTATCAAACCATTATATCGTCAGAATTGCAGACAAGAGGAGTCTTCAGCACAAAACTGATTGGGATAGACAGACAGGCAGATGTTAGTTTGCACATCACATGACTGAATCTTTAGGGGCTATTTAGAATAAAGTGGTTGTGGGTGGAGAGTCCGATAAAGATACAAATAAATAGTACTTTAATAGTTTATTTGTCCCTGTGGGGAAATTGCTTTGCAGCGAATGACTGAATTCACTTTCGCGCATTCATACATGACACAGAAAAAATAAATATTAAAAAGGCAAACAGAGTACAAGTTAAGCACAGTCTGACAACGAAAGAAATCATATTGCTTGTGGGATGTGGGTCAGAGAGGGTCTTTTGGGCCTTATTTTCTGTTCTTTCGGTTTTGGGCTTAAATACATTGTTTCCATCCAAGTTTAACGCACAAGAAGGACTACTCTGGGCGAGTTCCAGTCAAACCGTTAATCACTCTCTTGCCCATGCCCACAAAAGCCAACACCTTTTTTTCTTATGAAGACACTTTATTAACTCAGTTTGATTAAGTTTGTTATTTTTAATTTAGATGTATAGTTTGAAGGTTTCCCTGTTAAGATTAGTTTAGACCATGCAAAAATTTTAATGATTTTGGTATACACTACAAATCAGGCTTATATGGTATCGTTAGAATGCTCATGAATAGTGTACACCTACTGATGTTCAAAGCCTCATTTTCATACAACACACATCTTGTTTAGAAATCGACTTACCCTCACCTTAACGCAAATATAAATGTGGACAGACTGCGACTTTGTTATTATTGTCTGCTGCTGCACTGCTCGGAAGATTTGGCCCTCAGTGTGATTGAAATGGCATGAAGTCAATCTCTGAGTTTGGTTAGTCTTTTGCTGCACAAATATTCGTCGCATATCAGAAAGCACTGCACGCTGCCCGTACGTAACCATGACAGATTTCCATTTGGCCTCTGCAGAAAGCCCTGACTAAGTAGACGAGATTTACAGCCTCTCCTTTCTTTGGCCCGTCCCGAGCTCTGCCTCTTCACTTTCCCAAATCAGTTTGTGTTCATCACTTGAGTGCTCATCTGCAGTCAATGTCCGTCTCCCCCCTCATCTCTCTCCCCTCCTTCCTCCCCCTCCTCCTCCTTCTCTCGTCTGCTGTTGTGTGAGCGATGTCAGTGCTAATTAAAGAGCCACTCAGAGCCTCGTATATCACAAAGTCCTCGCAAATTCCAATAAGGAAAAGCTCACAGTGTGCCTATCCGCATTGAGGCAAGCTTGACCTGAACAAAATCGCTCACAGATGATCAAAAAATGTAACTCTAGTATGGGTGTTACTTTTTAAATTTGTTTACAACACAATCCCCATCACTGTAAACTATTTGAGGGGAATTACAGACAGTGGATGTGGCAAATGCGGGTTCCAGAAGATGATGATGAACCACAGAGGAAGAAGAGTAGAAGGTCAAATAGGTTTGTGACATCTGTGCCTGGGATGCTGCTGGAGCGGGGATGCCCAACTCAAATAAGCATGTGGCCACTCAAGGAACCCAGGCAGCCCATGTGTCCATTTTCAAGTCTTTCAATGAACCAGTGACAACTATTAAAAGCATAACACAGATGCCTATTTCCACAGCTTTTGCACTGGCACTGGCACTGGCACTATAAGAGTGGAGAGGTAGGTGAACCATACAAGGCTTCTATTACTATTACCACATTTTAAAGGGCCTTTTAAAGATATATATATATATATATATATATATATATATATATATATATATATATATATATATATATATATATATATATATATATATATATATATATATATATAAATATGTGTGTATGTAACATACCTAGAGTTGGAGTTCTCTCAAACAGAAAACACTCCGTTTTCCACTTCCACCTTGTGATGCCATGTAGTAAGACAAGAAGTGCTCCACTGTGTTTTAAAATTCCATAGACCTGGACTAGAATTATTCGGATGATTATAGTCCTGGGACTGACAGCCTGAACAAAAGACAAATGTTTGCTGTTGGAAACAACCATTTCATGACATCACAAGATGCAATGGAGCATTTTGAACTTTGGAGATGTATCCCCTCCTTCCAAAGGAACTTTGGAGGTGTAAAGCATTACTCAAAATTGTGTAAATAAAACAAAACACAATTCAGGGTATGTTTTTGATTAGGTAACAGCATTATGACATGGCTTAAAGCTCAATTTTTAATATAGGACCCTTAAGGGCAAATTATAGTTCTGCGTCGACTTAACGCACACTGCCGCCGTCGCCTTGCCATGCCTTTTTGATTTATGGGTCGGCATTGATCTATGTGCCGCAAAATAATTCACCGCCACAACGCTAGGAGGCAATGAGTCGTAAAATCACTTGAACTTGATGGTGGAGTGTTTACCTTCCACTTACTGTGGAGACACCAGCAACTGAGTGGGAGAGGATGCTGATGGAGTTGGAGCTGATAGATATCGAGGAACAAATGCTTCTGGTACAAATGCTGGCAAAGAAACAAGGGGGAGGATTTAAGATTTTATTTTTAGGATTTTGTTTGCAAAATGAACCGTGAAAGTGCAGTACCAGAAATGTATGTAGAGCAGATGTAGAGTGGACCAATCACAGACCTTATTGTCTGCATTGCTTCGCCTTGCTGTTTGCGTCATTTCAACACGTAGTTAGAAAATTTCGGAGGTGCACATTGGTCGACACAGACACTCTCCATAGGGGGTTCACGTTGATGCAGACTCTCTGCGTCGTGACGCAGACGATTTGACGCATGACCATAAATTGGGCTTTAATCAGCAAACAGCAAACAACAAATTATTTGCTCACCCCTACACTTGACATAAAAAATATGTATTTTTGGTGGAGCTTAAATTATGTACAATGCACTGCTTGTCTAAATGTGAAATATGTATGTAAATAAAAATCATTAAAATTTCTCTCTGGATGAATTATCTGCTTTGAGGATGTTACTGCATTGCATCCAGTATGTACATCCACTACATACAGTAAAACAAGGAGTAAGCACAAAAGATATACAAGTTTGATTAAAAAGAGAGCCAGCACCATTAGCTAATGGACATCTTAATAAATGAATTTGGTCAGAGTCAAGGTTGGACAATACTCTACCGTAATTTATAACATTGGCTACATCAATACACCGCTCAAGGCAATTCAGATAAATACATATTCTGGTGTTCTGCTACATATTTTGAATGTGAGACATATGAATCTGCATTGGTAAAATATAAGTTTACAGAATAATCTTCTCACCACTGGCCTTATTTGATTTGATTGCGGCTTTCGGAGCAAAACGTCTATGGAGGTGCCGGCGCGTAGTATGGAAACCCTCCGATCTACCCACTGGACATGTTTCCATTCTGCAAAAGGCTCAGGCTGCTATTATCATTCCTACATAAGACTGTAATGAGAAGCTGGGGTAAAACCAACAAGGGGATAAGGTAGACCCGAGTATAAACTGCCGTAATCTGGACCACTGTGAGTATTTTCATAAGCACACTGTTGATAGCTCATTAAGAAGCTAAACCTATATCTTATGCAAGTATAATATATAAAGTCACCACCCCGACTGGGTCATACGAGCCATATCATTTTTACGGCCGTGTCAATAAACAGCAATACATGGCCTCTTAACACAGGGTTGAATGGGGGAGCTGAACTAAGCTGGTTGAGCCCAAGGAAAAAAAAAAATCACCATTGGCTCTGGGGTCCAATAAGACTCGCCACTTTCACTGTATATTTTCCAGTTTGAACGTAATTGTGTCTACTCCACATAATCCAGTCCCCAAATATCCATAAGCACTTCCCTGGGCCGCGCTTCACGCTCTGCCTCAATAAGAGCAGGAATGTGTTAAAACAGCCTGTCAATAGGTGCCTTTCAGCTACTCGCCCCATGCTTGTATTGTCCCAGGGTGGGCTGCCCATCTACGCTCCTTACGGGACTTCTAAAAACCTGATACCTGCGCATGGCGCATTCTGACCGGGGCAGAGCCTATGACGTATGCACAGCAGCATATAGAGCTGTCTGTGTAGTCTGCAGCTGGCCACGAGTCAGAGCCACAAGCACCACTGAACGCTCTGGGATATCAGCCCAGTGTAAAAACCACAAAGTCTCAATAAATTCTTTAATAACAACTTCATCTAATATTCAGAATCAGCAAAAAGTCAAAGAATAACATAACTTTTATGCTTGATTAGTTGATTTGAAATATTCAACAGCGCAGTGCTCTGTGCTCTGTTCTCTGTTAGATGAACTAACAAAAATAAAACTTTCAAAATCAACCTCAACAACTGCTGATATTAAAATAAAATGCGAAAATAAAATAGTATTGAGGTGTAAAAGATCAGCTACTGTGAGAGTGCAGATCTGTATATAGATGTCAGGAGACAGCTAACAGTTAATTTTGAGCACAATGTAAAAGTCTTTTCAATCAACAACTCCATCCACCAATGTGAAGCTTAACAATGGTGTCAAATGCTCCAGTTCAGTTCTGGGAAAACTTCCAAGACTTTAACTAATGACCCCATACCAGTGCATGAAAAGGAGTGACCCAAAAATTCGTAATACACTGACTATGGAGGACAGGGTTAAGTTTGTTGCACTACATTTTAAATCACAACTCATTAAAGAACACCTAATACATGATTGCTTTGTATTGAGCTTATAGCTCATCTATATTACTTCTGTCTGACAGTGTGCCAGCTATGGTCTGACAGAAGAAGACCAGAGAGCACAACTTCAAGCTAAGGTAACAGACATATTTTGTAAATGTACTAAAAATATTTTATAAATGCAGAACTATGTGAAAAAAATTAACTTCTATGCACTGTATGGAGCTAATAATATCATACTTTTATTTCTTGACGTCACAAAAGTAAGTGCCAAGTCAGCACTTTGCTTGGATGCGCTTGGGCAACAAGGTTTCACTTCGCATGAATGCATGGGGATATTAAGCAGGTGATAAAGGGTTTGTGAGAACTACAAACTATGAATTAAGTAAAGTGCAGTGGGCATGTAAGGGGTGTAGTGCAATGTCATCTTGAATGAAGGTGATGAGGAGAATAAAGATTACTCCCATATCCATGAATCACACTAAATACAACTTAGTAGTAGGAAATGAGGAATTTGAGGATTTGGAGAATACTGTATGTCTCCTTTAATCATCTCTCATCTTAATTGCTTTTCATCTTAAGTGTCTTTAAATTAAACCCTATGCAACTCTGTAGTAATTCATTCCAAAGGTATTGAAACCGCAATGTTGCTGAGATTGTAATAAATTCTTAAAGATTAGGTAAAGGACAGTTTGGCAGTCATTCATGAAACCTATAACATGTGGTAGTGCTCAGAGCATGAAAATGCACTCGATCCACATCACATCCATTTTCCAACAAATACACTGCAGTAAGATTTCCCTACAGCAAAAACAAGCTATTTGACCTTTAAACTGTATTGTCATTCTAAAAACCATTTTCTTTTTGTAGGATAAACATTAGCTTGTAATAATTTCAATGCTAACATTAATGTACTGTGCAGTGTTCTTTGTTGAATTGCTGGAAAAAATTGCTCGTATCCCAGCACCCTGGAAAATCTTTCCAATCAATACACTAACCAGAGCCAAAGAACACAGTTAATACAAATATGACAAAGGAGCTTTTGAAGTTTTCTGCGTGTCATTAAAATGGATGGAGTGCATTCAGTGTGTACTCACTGTGGGTGTAATGACGGGGCCGTGGAGCTGTGCATAGAGAAGAGCCTCACTGACATGGCCTCTCACCCCCAGCAGAGCCAGCTCCATGCTGTGCTGGTTCGCCATAGCGTTGGTGAGCTGATCCAATAGTGTGATGTATCTTCTCCAGGGCTGATCCAGCTCAGATACACTGGCCAAGCACCCACGCATCACATTGAGACAGAGACCATCACAAGGCTTGATCAGAGTCAGGCCTCTGCAGTGGGAGCAGTACACCATCTTGACCAGCGCCTTTACACACTCTTTGCTCAAACTGACATGTTCAGTGGCATTCAGGACCTCCAGACCTTCTGAAAGGGCCAACCCGAGATGCTTCCCAGCCCCCAGGGCTCCAGCCAGCTCCTGGGCCATGACTGCTGAGTGAGGCCCAAAGGGGTTGACGTCTTGTCTGATCATTCGCAAGCAGTCGCCCATCTCGCTCCACACGAGCTCCCTGTCCATGCCTGGGTTGATCAGCTGAGTGTACACTAGTGGAAACAGATTGTTGAAAAACTGATGAACTGCAGCCTCCACAGAGACATTGGCCCCACGCAGGTGATGAGACAGAGAGGAGAAGAGCTGGTTTACATGAGGCAGAGCATGCCGGGACAGGGACGGGTAAGTTCCTTCCAGCAGAGAACTCAGGTGACCTTGTGAGAAGGATAGAAGGTACTGGAACATGTCTGCAAGCAGAGGAGAAACAACAATTATTTAGCATCTTTTTCAGTAAGTTTTGCCCAAAATGGCTGTTGAATATTTGGCAAACCAAATCCTATAATGCAAATCCAGAAATCCCCATACTGGCTCATTAGCTATGAATGAAGTTCAAAATAATGTCATGACTCAATAAAGTTTAATGACTGTGAAATGAGCCAGCGGGATGGAGTGGCTAGGCATAGGAAAACAAGGAGGTAAGATCAAAGATTTGGCTCAAAACAATTCGGCCAAGACAAAACCACATGTACTTGGCATTGACAGTGGCAAAAACATCATCTTTAAAATCCTACATTTGTGTCCACCCATTGAAATCTTATTTTACTGTACATGCACAAAGTACAAATACGAGGGATTGAATCATAGAGAATTAAGTAATGTCCTGCTAAATATCCTTGATGCCAGTGTGCTGGCTATTCCACTGCTTGTTAACCAATGTAAAAAGAAAAATAGTAGTAGAATAATTTGGTTACAAAAAGTATACAGTTTCTATTTCTATGTTCACAATTTTGTTACAGTTTATTTGCAACTCAAGTGTTAGCATTTGAAACTCTCCCTTGAACAGTTGTTTCTTATATTGAGTTCTCTGTTGAATACAAGAGACTGTTTCCACATTAAAGGAATAATATAAACAGCTTACATAGTCGTATAGCACTAGTTGTGTCCTATGTGTTTGTGTATTCTGTCCTGGACTCTAAACTCTCCTCTTAGCTGTGATGTCAGCCAAAAAGCATGCCACAACATGAAGGAGCAGTAGCAACTGTACAGAAATTGAAACTGGAGAAGGTGGGTTTACCCCCCGCCCCCACTATTCATTAGCCTACTGTGTGTTGCTAAATATAAAACACACAGGGGGTGAATTCATATTTGAGTGTGATGGGTCAACCCTACATATTGTTACTTCATAATAAAATATATTACTTTACGACTTAAGCTTGAGGCAGACATTTAAGCCATGGATCCATTGAGCGTGCGTGTGCCTGTGTGTGTGCAGCCCCTCCCAGCTAATAACAACAGACATGTCCTCTTCAACAGCTGCACTAATATGTGACACATGGACTCCCCACAGCCCAGTCAAAGGCTCTACTAGTTCTGAACGCACCCAAAAGCATTGTAATGGTGGTAGTGGCACCCACACATGGATCATTTGGACATATAAAGCATTTAAATGGCTTCTGAAGGCTATGAGTTAACGTCTAGCTGTAATAGAATGACAGCAGACTGAGAGATATGAGATATGATTTGTGAGGAACTGCCACGGGTCACATGCAGAAGCCACAGAAGCTGACACCTGAGAGGCACTCACTTAATAAGGTTATAGACCATGACATAGTGCAATATTAAATGATCATTAGAATCATCACTATGAAGCAGTAATGTCCAGAAGTTAAAGTCCTCAAGTATTTCCCAGCACAAAAGTGACACACACATACACTAACACAGTAGTCCAAATCAATTTTGCATCATTTACAGATTATTACATTGAATTACTCTTATTTTAATGGAATCAGTATTTTATTTATTATCCTTAGGCATTTCTATTGGTCATGGAATAACTGGTCCGGAGTATTGTAGTAATACTGAAGTATTACTTTGCAGTAACATCACGCTGGGAGCGTTCTATTTATCTCTACTGGCAGAATGCTCAAAATTAGCTCAAAGAACACTGACAAATAAGTTTTATTATACTCTGAAATTAAAGAAAAAGCACATGGATGGATTTAAACAACACATGTTCAGGACCCTGTGATCAACACAAGTGTTTAGGTGTTTGATTCAACAAAAACAGTGAAAGTGACCAGCTGAAAAACTGTTGGCTAATGCTAGCTAGGTTGTGGCTGTAATATTATTAGAGATGGACTTGCACAAATGGACTTGACAAAAAAAAGGTCAACTCTATCTGGTCAGTGTCCACTGTCCACCAGCATTCTGACCAGAACTGAAGAAGCAGCTTGGGTGAGCTGTGAAACTTTTTCGACCTAAATAAAAGTTTGTACAGTTGACAAATTCAATTTCTCTTTTGCTATGTTAAAATAAAGCTCAGATTAAAGTTTAACTTGAGTGATAGAGCTTCAAACAGAGTAGTGCTTTCAGTTAGCTTCACACCCCCAGGTTCATGATTTCACCTGCAGAGTGACTTGTTTAGTGCTACTCTCATCATTATTATAACATTCAACAATTATCAAAAATCAGATGTGCAGCTCTACATTTAAAATCTTTATATTGAAGTGATGCCAAAACAACTCACAAACAGGGAAAATCTCCAGCAGACAGCAGGAGACTGCCAGAACAAAGCAGCAAGTCAAATATTCAACAAGAAAAAACAACACTACTGTATAAGTGCACTCTACTGCACCTTGAGACTATGCACCCACATCTGGATTCGTTTGGCCCCTGGTTCACAGCACATCCCTTTGTCTCCTGTGAAATATTTCAGACATCCTATCTTCCTTAAATATAAAACACTGTCTATTCACAGAGCATGACCTGTTGTGCTGTTGTGGCAAGTCTTTTGTTTGTGTATTGCATTCAATAAGCTCAAAGAAGAAGGAGAGAAACTGAGACCAACCCACTATAAAATCAAACCACCACTGCCGGGGGAAGCATTTGTGCTACAAGCCAAAATGAAAATCTACCTGCTTCTGGCATGTTGGCTCGTGATAATGTCCCTGTCAAGCCATGTTAAGTCAGAGAGCAAATTATGAAGCAAACTTACAAAAATAGTTTAGATAGATGCAATGCCTAACAGTGAAAGAGAAAGGCAGTTTCAGAGGCACAGTTTAAATCTGAACTACCACTGAGTGACGGTTACATTTGATTGTTTGGTGTAACCGCAGTGGCCGGATCTGCCTGAGACCGCACTGCATTCAGACACATGCAGCAGAGCTTGGTGGCTATCATTATTGTGTCACTGGCTCTCCTCAGTAAACCTCTAGAGAAGTGAAGTCTGCAAGAACTGAGCATTTTGGAATGGGCAAATTATAGTTAATTTGCAAGGAAGTGTTTCAATGAAATTCAAAGATATAATTGTCAAGTTCATTGTTGTGGGTTGGGGTGAGAGGGGAGTCTTGCCATAATGTCTGGCTCCAACAAACCAATTCTGACACTTTCTTATAAGAAACGGACGGATTAAAAGTTAAAATAGATTTAATAGACCAGAAACTTTTTCCACCACTTTAATCAGACTCTTGGAAGAAAATATGATGCACACATTGAAATGAGTTGCATGCATGTTAGATTTTCCATAGTCACATACAGTGAAGATTATAAACTTGAGCCTCTACAGAAGAGTGTCAACAGTGTATGGTATTTTTCATTACTGTCGGATAACCTGTCATGGAAAAATGACACTGGCAAGTTCACTGTTGTGTGAGCTCACAGAGGTGTGATGGCATACAAGTCTCCACTAGAGCATGTGGTGATGCAGTAATATTGTGATAATGAGATTGGAGACACTGTTCTCATACCATAAAGCTGTAGGCCATTCCTATCCTGGCAGTGATTCCCAGCTAGGCCCGACCAACTAACTTCTAAGGCAAAAGCATTTAATCCTGCAGCAGGCTTGTGTTTCCCTCAGGTCACCACACAGATATGTGACACAGGGACACGTGTGGAGATTAGATATCCTTGTTTTAATTAGTAGCAATACTGTACAGAAAGTTATATCCCACTCAGCATGGCTCATCTGAAGTTACAGGGAAAGTTGCATTGTCATACAATCCTCATACTTAAGCATGTAAACGAAGAGCTCAATGATAAACTATAACTGACTCGGTGACTCATCATCACACCACGTCAAATACACATACTAAAGCTTTAGGGGTTGCATGAGTCATCCATCAGAAAACAGAGTGTGTTGCTTAGGCAAAAGTAGCAGCTAAAACACTGTATATTCCAACCACTTGCACATTGCACAAATGTCAGTTCACCTCTGGCCTGAATTGTAGTGCTCTTAACTCTCCCTACCCCATACAGCCAACAGGTGCAGTATGTGCACACATAAGAACAGGAGGTGTCTGTGCAAGGCGGGCATGACATGAGCGAGAATCCAGGGAGCCCCTATCTCTCTATCAGCATTCTTGCAATTAATAATATGGTGCAGCTATATCATAACTCCTAAACATAAACAATTCCACAGATGCCAGCAGCAGCGGTGGGGTCGCTGGTAGGGAGCGGAGGTGGAAATTGGGCCCGGGGATCATTGCAGGGTGGTATGGCCCGACTGAAGAAACCCGATCGAAGGCATGGGATGAGCAGACGTGAGAGGGATGGGGCACATGGGCAGGAGGAAGAGGAGGGGGTCCGACCATAAAGGGGAAATGTGGAGGCTGGCTATGCGGTACACTGTTGACAGACTGATGGACAGCGCCTCTGCTCCTCTACACTGACATGGCACAGGCCTAGCGTGACCCTCACCACCTGTACCCGCACTTTCTCTGCACTTTATTGGTGCATAAGTCATAGTGTAACACATCATGATATTACACCATCTGACAGACTTAATACATTTACAGTAGAGCCGAAGGGGGTCATAATTCAAGGTGTCTGGACGAACTGCACATTTCAACCAAGAGGTTTGGCTTGCATGGTTCATTTCAAAATGACACAAAAAAAAGCTTTAGGCTTTCACAATGCAGAGCTATGCACTTTTATTGCATGATAAATTCACCAATATTTTATGTTTTCATTTTGTTTTCACAACCCAGCACTATTCAAACAGCCTACACGCATCTGAGTTTATTTTAACATCTAGTATTATATAATCCAAAATCAGAGCGCCACCAGCTTGATTATGTCAAACATACAAAATAAGGCAGTAATTAAAACCTGCTTGTGGGAGTATATATAAACATCTAGCTACATAACATATGTGCTAATTTGCTTGCAAGAACAAAATACAAAAGGAAAATGTATGCTTGCATAAGATTAACATGAACCAGACCCTTTAAAAGGCACTTTGAGGTGTGAATGAAGTCAAGATGAAAAGGCTCCAATTAACAATCACTTTTCATAACAGGTGGTTCAACTTTATCCTATGAAGCCTCAACACCTTTATGGAACGCTTTGATTATTGTCATAAAAAGTGAATGTAAGGAGTGAATAAAAAACTAAAATAAAACAAGGAGTAAAGTGTAAAGTCACTGTGGCTATTAAAAAAATGTTCTTCACTTGCCTCTGGGTAAATAATAGGATACCGCTGACTTTATGTTACAAGAGGGAGTTCATAATGAAGAACAAGGAGCCACTGAAGCAGCAGGAAGAAGGACTTTAGCACTAAACACTGCACGGAAACTGGATGGAAATTGATGAAGGGATGATGAAGTGAGTTAATGTGAAATGGCCAGCTCTATCCGAGACACAAGCATGAGTCACAGGGCAGATCTTTAACAGACATCAGAAGTTTGAGTTAGCGCCAAGAGGCAGGGCACCCGCACTTCTCACGGTTGTCACGCAAAGTTATTATTGATAACCAAGCCACTTTCTTTACCTATGACATGCTATCAGAACACGCATGTACAATGAGCAGAACTCTAAGGTATCTGATCAACTGTTTTGAATAAAGATGTGTGCTGTGTTCATCCACTCGGATCTGCACACAAATATATTTTACAACTAGGATTAGTTTGGGAGAGACGAGCGCAGAGGAGTCAAGCAGGACACAGGAAAGAGCCAGGCCAAACAAATCAGCAGCATTAGAGGATAAATCCCCACAGACAAAACCAAAAGTGTTCCAGACATGTTCGAATATTGTGAATCGGGAACAAGCCCCAAGAGCACTAAGGCTCATTACAAAACAACATAACTGGACATTATCCACAGTCTTCTAGTTTCAGTCAATGTCAGGTTGTTAACTAAAGACTCAAGAGGCAATGAATGATGCTTGCTTTTGGCAATCACATGGGTAACTGTATAGCATATTTCCTGTAATATAAGTTACAATGTTAAACTATGGGACCTTATAGGCAAAACACGTCCTTAATGAATCAAGAAATATGTATGTGTTTATATTGTTGCCATTGACATACCTCAGAGTCGTCAGGAGTCCCAATGTTGCCCTGCAATAAACATTTATTTTTACATATGTATATATGTATGCATATATGTTGCCAAAGTTGTGTACCATCAGCAGTTATCTTTGAGACTTGAGACCTTCCCTGCAGAGGTCTACCACATCGCTGGCACAAGCCCCACCTGCTCTCTGCTCATGTGCTTTATTACATTTCCACGACTTCTAAAGGCCACAGAAGCACTTCTGAAGAAGCTATGCAATGTAAAGAAGGACATTCTTCTCCACACTAGATTCTGCTGAACCTCCACATCCCTTTGAAACATATACAAACACATCACACCTGACACCTAGCATCACCACACCTGTGAGCACTTGAAATCTCCAGCTTACTTTAGCGCAACACTCACCCTGTTTTCACACATTTAAGGTTTAAATAGAAAGCAGAAGTGATTAGCCAAGCTTCAATGTGGCTCATGACTTTCCCTCTCTCCTCCCTCCTTGCTCTTTGTTCTCTGCAGTGTTCCCCAGTGAGTCTTCACCTTGTTGTTAACAGGGAAACACGACTCAGCCTGCATGTCATGTCTGCTCAGGAGATTCAAAAGGCGTTGTTAAAAACACAACACGCACACTCTCACAGCCGATGTGGTCACTCCACTATTAGGTCCATAAACACGTTCTCTCCCCACCCTCTATGATTAAATGAGACGTGTAGGGATGGATTCCGGATATCCTCCCTAATTTGAGTATGAGCTCATGGTGCAGTGCAATGTCATCTTGTGTCCAAGCGTCAGCCTCTAGAGCAATAACCCTGTCGGTCAAAACATCTGTGGAGAGAAATAAGTGCAGACATGGTAGTGGGAGGAAGAGATGATGAGGTGAGACGGCCAGGCTAAAAAGATCACAGACACAGTGAGAGCCAAGAGCTGCCAAACAAACCCACAGATGACAATAAAGATACTTTGCTGTTTCTGATGAAAGACTTCATGAGAATCAGATGAGATCTGCTGCACTTTGTTTGCATCCATGCATGCCACAGATTCTTAGTCTTCAATAGCACACACACAACAGAGCTACACTATGAGCCACCCAACAAAGTAAAAACCACAAACTATCAGAGACGTGAATCAACCTGTTGCCCTACAAATGCACTAAGGCACTACCACAGAGTTGCATGGTAATGCATGGATGAGGTTGAAGGTTAAATAACATTTAATGACCAATTTAATATTATTATTATTACAACGTCTTGTAATCTGAGCATCTCCCACGTATTACAGAGCACAGTAGGCCTTTCGTGCTGTCTAAAAAAAGGCAGGCCAGAGAAAACATAGACACACAGTTTGTTTGCAGTTCAGTAGACAAAAGAGAGAAGTGGCTTTTATACTTTGAAAATAAACTATACACCCTGACAACTGAATGAATATTATAAGAAAGAATTTCTCCCTCTCAATAGAAACATACAAAAGCACATTTATCTCAGGGCACAGGACTTCACAAACACTGTCCTTAGAAGGCCTTAAATTGTGGTATGGTTACGTCATCATATCTTGTTCTTCTTTATTCCATTGTTATTTTCCATCTTGGCCATTTGTGGACATGTGGAGCACCTGACTCCCATCCTCCGGACAGGCTCAGACATGAGCTAAGAAGGGAAAGATCTCTATGAAGAAATGAATGCATACCACACACACTACTTTCATCCAAGCACTTAATTAAAAAAATAAATGTGACACTGAGCTTTATTACAAATAATAATAACATAAATTTAATTACCAGTACTTCTACATTTTTTCTTCTTCCTTTACTGATGATTAAAGTCATTTTGCAATTTACAAGTATTCATACATTTACTTCATATTCAGCAGTTCAGAAGCATTATACTCACTTCACATACACTAGTAACAGTTAGTGAACAGAATCTTGCTATTTGATGCATTTAAAATAAGTTGGGTAACAAACTTATAAAACAAAAGTATAAATCCAAGAAGTAAATTTGAGTGAATTATTTACAGTATTTTCAATGTGCTGTAAAACATAGTGTGGAGATACTGTAGCACTGTCTAATGAGTTTCTGCCTGAAATAACAGAATTAACACAAACATTGATGCAACCATTTTTGGAGCAGCCCTTGTGACCCACAGAAACCAAAAGACATTTTTTTCAATTAGTACATAATCTAAAGATATACAAAAATGCAAAAAAAAGCCCATTTCCCTCACACTTACCTTGAAAGGCATCTGCATGACCTGAAAAGAGCTGCTCAAGGTCATAGCTGTAAGACTGGATGTTATGAAGAGTCTCTCTTTTGACAGCGATCAGGTAGCTCTCCTCCATTTTACGAGTGCAGCAGGACAGTCCCTGGTGCTTGCAGAGCAGTAGATCCACATCTATAACATATACAGTAAATTCAATGCATTAGAGCTTTCAACTGATAAGTATTTTGTGTATTTGATCAAATAAATCATAATGATGTGTGAACGTAACTGGACAGTGTACATAGATCATTCTATAAATGAAGAGTACAAGTATAGTCAGCGGTATGCACATAGGCAGACAAGTCATAACTCCATTGGGAGACAGAAGAGGCACTATGGGAGGGTGAGAAAGTAGACCAAGAATTCATCAGCGTTTACCACTATAAATACTGCCTCTGACTGCTAACTACATAGCAGACAGGGGTCTAGCTATAGATGACATAAAGGCATACCATTTTGGAATCATACAATAAAGATCAAACATTCCCATAAAATATAACTGTATTGAGTAAACCTGATATTGTATCATTTTACTCAACAATATAAGTCAATTGCTTAGTTGCTTTAACTTCATTTGAGTGACATTGGCAAAATAAGGCTAAGTGAAATCTGAGTTTCCATGTCACCTGTTCCTCACCAATATTTAGGACATTACCTCACCTTTACTAGCCACAATAGGAGCTTTTCTCACCAGCAATTTGCCAAAAGTCTCATTTTGAAAGGCATTTCCATTATGGAAAGGTCTGACATGATAACTCATTTCACAGTTGGAGCGATGGAAGGGGGCGGATGAGGCAGGTGTTGTAACTAGAGCCTATAGCGTGGCCTTAGGACAGACCACAAGAGCAGTGCCTCACTGTCCAAATCCCTCCATGAAACACAATAGGGTTGCATTCTCAATCCCTCTTTCCCTTTCTGCTGCCTCTGTCCATTTGCCTGGCATATCCCAGCGAGGCCTGGGTGTCTCTTAATTACCCAGCGAGGCTCCATTTGTTCCCATCCCAGAGCCAGACGAGTGAAGTCATAACTGGCCGCCCTGCCCCTTTAGCTCATTACGTCCAGCTCTATGGCAGGACTGTGCTTGGACAGTTTTCTCTGAGCACTGTTTTGGCAAGTCACAATGACTTTGGTTCAGAAACTATCGTTAAAATCAACAGTTTGGGGTTCAGGATATATTGTCCTGAAATTGAGTTCATGTCTATAGCAAGTTTCCAAAGAACATCATTTCAGAAAGTGATTTTCTCCATTATACTTCTTTCATTGTGAGGCTAAACTGCTGTATGTTCTGACTTTTTTTTTTGTTTTATTGCCGATATGAAGCACCAATCCAGGGACTGCCTGCAGAATCGTGCCTGCCTCCTGTCACTTGTGAGGAGCTGCTTGGAGTAAGTGATACATGGAGGACTTAGTGCTGTTAAAACCACAGCCGCCAAAGAGGCTGACTGTCACCAATCTGAGGGACCATTTTAATCATCTTAAAATTTTTATACCAACAATGTTCTACCATGAGCTGTAGTTGTTGCACCAACAGGAGCTCTTACCTGGTGTTCCGCAGAATCACTGGCTTATCCTTGGCTCACCAAATTAGCATAATAATTATGATAATCATGATTTAAGAGCCATTAGTCAAAATCCATTAGTACAAAAAAAACAATGCCCTTCAATGAACTGCTTAGTAGTGGCCTGACTCTGACTGCTGTCTATCTATACTATTTTTAAAATATTAGACAATTCATTTTTATGATCTTGAGTTAAAGATTATAAAGATCTCAAATTATTTTAAAAACAAAAATAACTTGGTCAAAATGTGGCCAATCAGCCTGTCTTTCCCACAGCCCAAGGAAGTCGCTTCTCTTTGAAGCTGAGAACATACAGGATATTTACTCTTACTTTTTCTATGTTTGAGATGGATTGAGGCATATATAAACACACCTGAAATTGCCCCCACAGCATACCTGCATTTTTCAACAACATTAAAACGTACTGGGAATGTTTAATTTTCCACGACCACAAGAGCATGCTGCCAACATACTACGAGTTGGCAGAGAATGCAGTTGAGACCCGGGAGAGCAAAACTTTTAAAGCAAAAAGCATTTTTTTTAAAATTGATTTCACACATAACACATATCTAAGCACACAATTGTGTGTGGCAACCCCCCAAAAGATTCCTATCACACTGATGAGTAAATCAGTGAGCATAAGAGTACAAAACCTGAGAGTGTGGATCTTGCTCAATCAGACAGTGGAGCTCAGCTGTAGGACTGGTAGATCATATCAGTGAAAATACACGAGGCCAAGAGGAGCTTGTGTGACAAAGATCAGAACTGTTGGCTGCCTGTTTTCCTCCGAGGAGCCATCTCACCGCTTCAGGGTAATCTCAATATGGAGCTTTTGGCAGGGCAGTCAGCCCCATAGTGATGGAGTAAGTAATCACGGGTCAGCAATTTGACGTCCCAGGTGAAGGACCAAACTTGGCAATGGGTTAAACTAGTGATTGTAGACACATTCATTACAAACATAAATATTTGCATTCCAGGTCACTGACAGACATATAAGTTATTCAGAATACAATTTTATTAATCAGGAACAGTAAAATATATTTTTAAAGTGAAAGAATCATATCCTACGGTTTTCATTTGCTTGCCACACTCAAGGCTCTTGGTGAGAAAAGCGTTCACAGCAGATGGATGAAACACACCACTGTATCCTAAACCAAACATAAAACTGTAAAAAGGTCCGAGGTTTGGCCACTTCAAATTTCAACACTTGCTTGTATTGGCATTTGATCTGAGATGTGAGGTAGAGTAGCATAATTGTGTACACTTGTAGCTATACCAAATAACCCGCTTTCATCACCCTCATCCAGAGGAGTTTACTCTGAAGACAAAAACACTACTGACCTAAAGGTACCTCTTGGAGGCAGGTACAAAAAGCAACACAGGACCAAAAAAGTATCAGTAAAGTTGAAGGAAGAGAGGAAGGAACATCAAAGTAAAAAAGTAGTTTGCAAATTAAATACACAGGAAAACAGAGCACATTTATGCATCCAATCCATTTTGTGAAGATCTGTATAAATACAGTAAGACACTTCATGCTGCAGAGCAGAGTTGAGTCCTCTACAGAAGGTCACAAATCCCTTCACATGGACTGCTGACATCTTCAGAGCGGCTCTCCCTGTTGTCTCTCCGAGCTTATGCTAAATGACAGCTTGTAAAGAAATTGACATGCTTGGTTGCTAGTGGTGACATTCTGCTAAACAAACAGATCAAGTGATCTAGATGCACCTCGAGGTATGCCCCAGCTCTTGTCTCTGTTACAGCAGGGCACTCACATGGTTCATCTACAACCACTCAACCTTACTGTTGAACTTTCTTTTTTTCCAAAGATATCCAAACATTATTTGTGTCTGGATGTCGTATTAGAGTACAATTAAAACTTGAATCTCATTGAATTTAAATGAGAAGAATCATCAATTTTTATTTGGCAGCATTTTGAATTGTGACTGAAGCGTCTGTCAAAAATTGTTTGTGCTTGGATAGAGTCAAAGTGGGTAGGTGTATGAACAATAAATCAGATTTTTTTAAAATTATTTTTTTGCACCCTATTTGCAAATGTATTTTTCACACCAGTAGCTTTTTAATTAGTAATAGATCTATTAGTCTATAATAATATTACACTAGTATTACCTTGTATAATTTGGGCATTATTCATTCACTTGGCACTGCACAAATCTAAGTACAATGAACTTGTTGGCTGTGATCAAATCCAAAACCTCCTTCATACATACAACATAGGTGTTAGTTATGTAAGTCTATGTTTTATCTGAAAGAGCAAGGTCAATCACTCAACTTTCCCAGCAGAGCCTATCTACAACCTTTGCCCACCATCCTTGTGTCTTGGTGCATCTTAAAACCAATAAATATTTTGAGAACTCCTATAAAGATGAAAAGACCCCATCTAGAGAGGGAAATAATATAACTCCAGGCCAGCCCAGGTAGGGGCAAGTTAAATCATCCCATACGTTACTATCTAATGATTTAGGACCAATTCAAGTTTTAATAAATCTCAGACGTGGACAGACAAGTCGCATGGGTGGGCAAAGCTAAGTTTTGTAGACTAGGGGTTTTGAGTGGGTAGTTTGGCATCATTCATGAGAACTTACCTACGCCAGGTGTTTCTGGGACTCGATGCACTGGTCCGACAGAACGAAGCTGGAAAGCGGTCCTCACTTCATGACAGCTATACGCATCCACGTGACATAGGTGCATGCCAAAAATGACCGCTAAAACAGTCCACAGGAGTCCGCAGCAGTTCACACGTGGGCATACTCCTCGGGACATTGCCGCATCTCAGAGCAGGTATCCTCGTGGATAGCACTCAGGAAACTGGCGGAAAACTGTGTGGCACCTGGAAAGACGCGCTCGCGAATGAAGCGACGATGAGTTCAAACATCTGACAAACGTTTCCGTCTGACTGTCACATTATTGGGTGTGATGAGTGAGAGCGCCTCGCAGCAGAGCTCTGGGTCTTCTCTTGGACACTGAGTGGTGTGGGCTAAAGCAGCCTGTCCCGCGCGCAACACTTTGCAGTAGTTGCTCGTCTGCATGTCTGATCCACAGCCTTGCGCACGCTCCCCTCCCTCTCTGTTTACCTCAGCCAAGTGCCTTAACTCTGGACTGTATCCGATGAGACGAAAGCTGCCAAAAGAGGCTGCGACCCGAACTCTCGGTCCATATTCTATTAATGTTGATACTGTTGACAGTCATATAGTGAATGCTAAAACACCGGACCTATGCCAATCACATGAAAATATTACCGGGGTAAATTAAAAGTAGCAAATACAAAGCTTGAATGAAAGTTTCCTCAATTGCTAATGAGCTACATTTTGGGTTACAAGTTGATTAAAAAATAAATAAATAAAAATCATAAAAAAAAAAAATAATAATAATAATAATAATAATAATAATAATAATAATAATAACTGTACCTGGTCTGAGAGCAATAAAGCTCGAGAAGCGCTTATATTTATGGATCATCATTAAATACGTAATGCTGCCATCTTGTGGGCACGACAGAACTGTTGGATCAGGCAAATGTTAACTCCTGCCCTGTGCGATGCGTTTATTGATTGATTCATTGATTCATTGATTTATATTTGCTTGTTTTATTTATTTCAAAGAGAAGTTTTTAGCCGTTTAAATAGTTTGTTTGTGCTTCGGGAGGTCCTGTTCTGGCGCCGTCTTAATATGAAATAAAAAATAGGCATAATTGTGTATTTCCTACATGTCCGTCCTGTACTTACTATAGTTTTTGCCACATGTTAACGAGTGGAAGTGGACTTACCGAATAGGCCAGCGCTCGCCAAGAGTCATCGTTTTGGGGAATGAGAAGAACGATGGGTGAGTGAAAAACTCACGTAGGTTTTGTTAGCATAAATTGTGACTGTGGATTGTTTAAAAAAAAAAAAGTCGTACCCCTCTTGCTAATTTGTTAATTCAGCGCCTGAGATGAGCTAAAATAAGCTCCACATTCCTGTTGTACAAAAACAGTCAACTTTGGGTGTTGAATGTGGACAGCAGATGGCGCTATTTGCTACCTTTTTATGTCCCCCTGTGGACGCCGGGTTGGTGCCACTCGTTTTTTAGTGATGTGCCGTAGGCATAGTTCAAATTAGGGTCAGTGCGCACATATTATAAAACATTATAGCTGGCTACATTTTCCCCTCACCACATTCAAGGACTGAAGTTTGCTTGAGTTTGTTTGTTCTATAGCCTCAGTATTCTGCCAGCAGAAAGATTTATAAACACAATTTGATAAACTGGCATTTTGTATTTATGTATTTGTTTATTTTATTAGTGGCTTTGCTTCTGTAAGCCTCTTCCTGTCTCTGCTATCACCACATGGTGGTGCTCATGTGGCTGTTGTTCATTTTGGACAAGTCTCTACTTGGCATCTCAGGAGGGATGTATTGGAGATAAATGGATGTGAAAAAGGTTGATTATGGAGAACATTCCTTTATTCTGTGCAAATGATTTCTGAAGTTGTTAATTAATAAGATGCCTACAGTCACTACACAGAGAGATCCAGATTTGATTTAATTTTGAGTATGAGTTTATGCATGTGCTGGATGCTGAATACATACATTAAACATGAGTGGTCAGGTGTGGTACATTACCGGTCAGTGCTACAGGGTCATGCTCCATTTCTTTGCTCCAGACGTGAGCAGTGGAAGTAACTCTGATGCATCATTAATGGGCAAATTACAGTTGTATTGCTACAGTCAGTCTGACTCTTTCTGCTTGGACTTTTCACTGGAGGCATTTCAACTCCTCTGGATAAAAGGCAGTGTCCACTTGTGTAATTGATTGTTGTAATGTTTTTATAGACTCTTCATTAGCCTGTTACTGCATGGATCAATATCACATCATTACATGCATGATTGAACTGACAAGCAGATGCCTGCCGGGGCATAATAGTTTGTATTAGTAAACACTCATTAGCACTTTTTTCATTAACAGGTGTTTTAAAGAATCACTTCCTGTGGTTTTATTGATTGCCCAACTAACAAAGTAGAGTATTGGATGCCATTTTAAAAGGAGAAGTCAAGACAGCTTCAAGAAGAACAGTTCTAATGCTGAAACCAGGAATAACAAGACCTTACAGGAATTTAGACTTGCTTTGACCAAGACATCAAGCCACCATAATTTGTCAGGTAGCATCAAACTGAAACCAATGTTACAGTTGCCCATTTTACCTGCTCTTCTTTCCTCTTAATAACCATAAGTGTGAATAACAATATCCTAACCTACCATACAGCAACAGTGATTTTATAATGTTATGAACAGTGCTGAAAATGTGTGTCTGCTCTTGTCTTAATTTATTCATATGAGTTTGAATTCCCCTATTTCCCCACTTACTGCATGTGCTCAAACTCCTGCTTCTTGGATCTTCTCTACCCCTCCACTTTTGTCCCAGTGGGAGTGTCCTAAACGGTTCATAAAACAAAATATTGTTGTGCACGTAGGTGGGAAAATGTGTTTAGCCCTTTACCCCATCATATTTCCTTGTTGTACTTGTTCACTGAACTCAGAGGGGATCTAAGTACTTCTTTTGAGATGGTGTTAGGCTGAGGTCACTTGGTTTTTGTGTATGTGCATGTGTGCTGAGTTTAACTGGCTTTGTGCATGACCAGCCAACCACATTCACCACAATAGGCAGAAAAAGGGGTGACTTACCCAGTGATGGAGCGATTGAGCTCAATGAGATCATAGCTACTGTCATTTCATCCACCCTACAGTGCACATTAGTGGGTAAGGCTTAGGGATAATGGGGGATATTGGAAGTGTGGTATTGTTATATCTTAGGTGCACAAAACTGAATATGATGGAAATGTTTGCAATATTTTTGGATACATAGGCCATAGAACTGTCATGATATGAGCATTTTGAAGTGTGATATGTTCGTGAAGAAAACACTGCGATTATGAACAATAATATTTGAAACTAATTTATGCCACTGACGCAACAACTGAACAAATCCAAACTGTACCTTAACCTTAGCCCTTTTAAACTCATCCATGTTATGTTGCTCTTTTAACATACATCACTCCATTTAGTATTTTTCTAGGAATTACAACCGCAATGAAAATGAACTAGAACCTTCTAACAAGCATTACAAGAGCTCCTTACATGTGACCTCCAACCTTTTCCCTGACATTGACAGAATGAGCAGTAGCAGGAGGAGGAGGAGACAACCAAGGCGGGGGGGTAATATAGCCAGAGGTTAAGAGGAATGGCTGGGCAGGGTCGACGAAAACAACAGATCTCTGATGCCTAATCCTTTTGTGCCTGTGGTGTTTAATCCGTCCAACCAAACTCCTCTCCACTCCACCCTCTACCCCACCCCATCACCAGACGCTCCTTTCGCACAAACAACTCACTGTAGTACAGAAAGCAATACCCCAGACAGTGGCAAAAAACAAAACAAAAAAAAAACCTACAGTAGTATTTCCCGTAAACAGACAACTTGGGTTCAGCGGTGGCCTCTGGGAACAGGACTCTCTTTTGACTATGCAAACATATTTAAATTTTCTAACAGCCAGACATTGTTGTTGTTGTTTTGGAGAGGGATAGCCCTAGCCCTGTATGATTTGGTTTCCCACTTGCCGATACTTTAAACATTATTGCATTTATTGTTTGCAGTAAGAGTTATTTGAGGTGGTTTTGTTTACGAACTGTGAGGAAAGAAAGATGTGGGGGGGGGCAATTGGCGGTCGCAGTGTTGAAAATGATGTATTCAAGGGGTGCTAGTGTAGATTCTGTCTAATGAGGTTACACCCTGGCAACCCGGTGACTCCTCCCACCCTCCCTCCATTCCCCCTTCCTCCTCTACCTCCTCCTCTATCTCTCCACTTATGCCCACCCACTCAACCCCCCCACCCCCACCTTCACCCTGCACTCGTGAGCTCTCCGTGGTGCTGAAAGAAGAAAAAACATTCGGCTTACAGTGCAGAGGACAGGCAGCGACAGCAGAGAAGCACAGGAGTAGAGGAGATTTGTAGGAGTTAAAAACACAATAGTTTAGGAGGTAATGAGGAGCGGATGACGTTGTAACGTAAGGTGGACAGGAGTGGGTGGTGGGCGTGTTCTAGTTGTTGTGAGTTATAGCTAGGGAGCCCGGTCTCATCTGCCTAGGCACAGATAGACAGAGGCTGTGAGCACGCTGTGTGGACATGCAGGACAGAGCTGGAGCTGACAGGGCAAAGCAAACCTGGAAATTCAGGCAAGCACCTTACTCTGAACTCTAAAGCAAGAAGAGGATTCATGCACCTGCTTAAACCCTGAACCGCTTGGACTTATTTGAGAGACAATTTGGGATGTAATTTTTTTAGCTTCATTTTTAGAAGAGGTGAGCCTTGTTTTTTGGCGTGTATCCGTGTCATGCTTGTTGTTACGGGGTGCGGTCTGTTGCTATGCTGCACCCCCCCCACCCCATCTGTCTTTAGCATGGCCAGATGTGTGAAGAAGTGAAGCTTGCACCCGGCTTGGAGTTGACTGTGCAGAGCGAGGGGCTGCAGCAGCTCCCCTGTGGGCCCAAGGGAGGAAGGGGAGGCATCACCAGACTGTGTACCTTGTAGCTCTCCCTTTCTTCTTAGCACCAGCATGGGTCACTTCTAACTGGACCGTACAATGGATGTATGTCAATGTGGATTTCAACGTGCGCCGGTGCTCCAGCAAAGGTCAGAGTTCACGAGTGTGCACTGGAGTGAGGAGGGCAAGGCACAAGACATATCGGTCCACCAACCAGCAGGGACACAGCCCCATTGTGAGTATACTTGCCACACATGTGTCAGAACTCAAATTTCAGACTTGTCAATAGGATACATGTGATAGAGCGACACTGTAATGCTGCATGTCATGCCAGTGCCTCCCTTGCAATTGATTTGACATTATGTCTTGGGAATATCCACGCTGCCCCTCTCCTTTGACATTGTTGCCTAGATACTGCAATGGTGTGCCACTTTAATTTACTTTTAAAGCCAATCTGTACATCTACGTGTGCCCTTCTTGTCAGATGTGCAAAGCAGTGATGGGATATTCAAAGATATGCTGCATCTAATGTAGGATAAAGATGCCTGAATATAGGGCAGCTGAATTGATAGGTTTTGCAGGAATAATCAAATTGCATAATGCACACCACAGAGTTATTGAAGGACAATCTCATGCGAAAAGACTTGGATGATCGGGAAAAAAAACAATGTGATAAACAAGTTGATTCCAGTGCAGAGTGCTGCTGCAGGCTTACAGGGATTAGGCAGGAAGGCTTAATTCAGCCCCAGCACTGTTTGAACTGCAATTGCCTCACGCTTTACACATCTCCACCTCACAGAAACGTATTATCCTCATATAGCTTCAGATCTCACAGCGTTTCTGTGTGTCAGCGATAAGACTGGATAAAGTTCTTTGGGGAAAATGTGCACCACTTGACACCTGGATACTGTGCCCTAGTTTGAACTCCTCAAAGATGGTGATTCTGTTGTTCATATCAGACCGTATCAGACCTGCATCCAAAAGCACAGGGTAAAACTAGGACAGGAGAGCAGCAAAACTTGAGGAGCCATGCTTTGTCCTTGCTCTCCTCATACAGAACAATACAGAAAATGGTTAAAGATGATTAGACAATGATAGTTCCATCACTTGGCCTTGCGATCTCCATCTGGCAGTCTTCCAAGCCCCCCTTCTCCATCCTTGGCTATCCATACATACACACAAACATACTACATACAGTTATCGCGCGCCCCCATCCCCCCCCTCCACACACGCTCACACTCCTCGCTCACACGTAAACAAGCACAAGTCTTAGCCTGATCTGAAAACATTGACCTACATAAAAGCATCTTCCTTTCCTCCATTGGCCTCTCCTAAAATTGTTCACATGAGCTGTTGCACATCTGACAAGCCGTGTTGCATGCAGTTGCACATGCTTGAAGGCTTATTTTATATGCATGCAATCCTATCAAACTAAGAAAGGATTTTTTTCAGGTAACAAGAAAACAATTACAGACAAAGAAAATTTATTTTTAGCCTTTGGAGGATATTGGAAATCTTGGATAATTTTATCTTGGTGGTTGTTCCCAGGAGTATTGCTTTTTGTCTCCACATTTGAGACCTCACACGCATTTGAACTTCAAGCTTAATTCCTGTTTATTTAGACATTAAAATGTGGTAAAAGCCAGAAATTTGAGCCTGAAATAGCGTAAAGACAACTGAGAAAAATGAGCAGACGCACTGATTTGCAGCCAATAAGAAAACACTCAAGCAGCGTATTTGTCACTGTAACCAGATTGTAGGAGGGTGAGATTGCGAAGAATGTATCATGTAGCAAGACCTCATGGGAAAATACTTAAGAGGATAGTGCCTGATGCAAGCCTCACCACCCTTAATGTACCAATCATCTAAGCAGCAATAGAGGCATAAAATATTAGGCCGATATTAGCCTGATGCAACTCTTCATCATTCCTGTTGTTTCCAATTTTATGCCAAAAAATAAGACTGAGAAATATGACAGAGTAGAGGGCAAAGGATTGGTTCTTTTATACTGATGAAGTAAATTGTGGAAGTATATAAACAACATGCATAAAGTTAGAACTGAACTGAAGACTCTAGACACCTCTTTATAGCCAGTCCCATCAAGTTCATTACTTTTTTATTTTTGTTAGTTTTGTTTCTTTGTTTTGTTTGAGGGGTGTATACTCTAGAGAAACACTTAAAGTAAAGTAAAGACAATGGTGAATTTGTCTTTATGATGATTCCATTGTGTATGACTCTGAACCCTTCATTTGAAGTATAGGATTTATCGTTATCTGGTGAGTGAATAAATATCAAGTTCACATGGTAAAGAGAGATGTCAAGCCCTAATTTGATGTAAACTAGGTAAATTGAGTATGCTTAATAATATTAATGCTTTTTTGTCTTTCCAGAATGCTGTGGACAAACTTGAAGAATGATGAGCTCCAAAGAGGAAGAAACTTTGCGTTTTTTCCACTATGTTGAAGAGAATGGGCTGAGAGCCTACAATGGCCTTATAGCTCAGAACCTGGATCATGCCAGGAATGAGAGAAACCGGACATACCTGCAGGAGAAAAATGATAAAAAGAGAAAACAGGAGGAAGCCATAAAGAGGTAGGAGTACAACTATTAATGTATTATTACATAGATACAAGATTAGAGCAATTTCAATTACTTATTCACTCAGTTACATTGCAAGTGTTTTTTATGAATTAGATTTACCAGTTCCTTTGCATTCTCAGTCATGAAGTTAGTGGAAGTAGGACAAGTAGCCACAGGCTCCCATGGGATCAGCTTGTTGCCATATTCTAATCTAGGGGTTGCCAGTGAGGGTTGGTTCACCCTTATCCATTGAGGATAGTTAATTTCTCACATTGACACTTATCTGGGACTTGTCCTTGAAAGGAGGTCATCACTGCTCCATTTTAAGACAAGACAAGCTTTTAGAATTAAGAATGAAGTGAGTGTGCTGGTTCTGAACTGAATGACACATTTATGAGCTCTCCTGGTGTGCACTTTACATAACTGTCCTGGACTGACCTAACTCCTGCACAAAAATGTGCTATGTCAATAGAGATACAATAGAGAGAGGTGAATTCATTGTAGTCACATCCTATGTCTTCAAACTAGTGATTAGTTAATACAATGTTCCCAAACAAAAGAAAGTTAAAGTCATATAGACCTAGGAATATGCACTGAGCATGATTACAAGGTGGCATGTAAAATGGGGTTTCATATCCTTATGATACTAGGCGGTATTACACAAAAATAAGCAATTCATCAGTTCACACTGTGAATGGACATACTTATAGTGGAGACAAGTTTGTCAAGCCAAGCCCATACACTTTATATTACTTATGGTTTTATGGTCTCAACTGTATTCTGTCAGATGGACTTGATTGACAAGCAGATTAACCAATTGGAGTACTGTATTAGAACAGAAAGAAGAAGGTCTTGCCTTTCCATGCAAGTGACATATCTGAGAGTGTGTGGTAGAGTTGTTGTTTAATAGTTTGACAGTTCAATTCCAGCTCTGGCCAGTGTATAATTACCAAGATAAGAAATACCACCTTGCCTAAGTACAATATGAATGTGACATGTGAGTTAGTTATTGGAGATGGCCATAGAGGTGTTGGCACAAGCTGGTATTCCTATCAAAGAGTGTGTAGTGAATTAATAATAGAATATAAAGCAACTTGTTTGAGTGTCCAAATATGTGCAATCGTTGATAAGTGCATTCATATTATTATAATGTGTAAACTTCAATTACACTATTGTCATTTAGATAATTCATTATTTACTAGTAGTTCAAGAATCACAATAAAACAGCCTTGCATACCTTATTACAAAATACTTTATAATGACGGACTAATGTTACAAGATGGTGAATTTTCCCTACACAATTATACGTTTTGCAATTCAGTTGAAAAATGCTTTATTCACTTATGTCTCCTTCGTCTGTTTGCCATTGGATGCCGGGCATGTGAATCTGTGAAGTCTGCAGCAGAGTCATTCCTTTGCTCTGTCCCATGCATCAATACCAGTCTGGAACAGTCAGCTCTGTTAACCAGGCAAAGGTTTTAATGGGTTGAAGCTGAGGGAAAGTGCCATCCACTTTCCTGCTAGCCTTTAACAGCATCAGCAGAACCATCATTCAAATATTAATTCATGAGAGATAAATATATGTTTTTATGAGGTATTAGAAGATGGTCAATGAGACAACATATTTTACGGTGGAATATTCACTTCCTATTGTGTGCATTTCTAGGCAGGTTGGCATGGTCATGGTCTGGCACTTGATGATTAAAAAGTCTGTATCTGTCTTTGAGAACAAAGGGATGCTGCATTGTCTTACAAAAGAAAGAGCTTCTGGGAGAAAATGTCTTTAAGAGTGTGAAGAAACAAGAAAAAGTCGAGAGAGAGAGCTTAAGTGTGAGTGCAAGAGAGTGTTCTGCCTGGTGACAGCTGGAACTGCCATAGGCCAATCAGATCAACACGTTTGTTTTGAGTGAGGCGGGACTTTCCGCTGCTGCTATCTGCCTTTTTTCTGTTTCACTGGAACTTGTTTACACAGTCACACAAGGATATACTGTCTCTCACACATGCAAATATACAGCCCAACAAAGAGCAACAAAGCCCCTCCCTAATGTGGTATTATAGTGCATTCTCATTACAACCCTTCCCTGGGAGTATTGTTTACATTTTTTCTGCCAAATTCATTGTGAGATGACCATACCTATCCAACTGCTCCTGCGGTCTGTGCCCCAGCCAATCACTGGGCAAATAACCTATAAATAACTCAGTCACCTCCGCTCCAGTCACACACATTCACAATGGGTGAAATGACTTTGCACTTATAGAAAATGCATGCAAAGGTTTTCTCATACTGTGATGTCAAACAAATCCTTCTAAATCCATGCTACACTTGAAATATTGTAAAACTACATTCTTGTCACTTTTAAAGACCTGCGTTTAGATTCATAAGTTAATTTGTGTGCTGTAAATAGCATTAGTAGCTCCACATGTAGAAGCTGCAGTGGCGCCCTGGTTGCCTTTTATACAAAGCAGTGATTTGCCTACAAGGCTCCATCATACCAACGTGTCTGGATCTGCACGTGCACTTTATTATTGTTGTGAGGCAGCAGCTGGGTTTGTGTCTGGTTTCTATGGGTACCCTCCCGTTGCTAGGCAAGGATAAGCCCCTGACCAATGAACCTATCCCACCAACCATGCGCCTTCTGTTTAGCAGCTGGCCCACGGAGGGAGACCGAGTCAGCAAAGTCACACAGCGAGTGGTCCGAAACATACACAAACACACGTGCGTGAGCCACAAAGGCAAAAAGTGCACATGCAAATTCATACCTGTGCCATTTGAGTAAACATTTGCATCTCTGACCTCAAACTTTGGGTCAACCCTCCATCAGTCATATGAGGATGACAACCAAGTCAAACAAACACGCCAGCCTTTCAGTTTGAAGCAGTCTCTGTAAAAACATTCAATTTTCTCTCAAAATGATATTCGTGTGGCCCTCATTTCCCCACTATTACCACAACACACTCAGACCTCATTAACTGTCCATTCAGGCCAATCATCCCTTTATCAGGATTGATTGTGTTCAAGCTGGGGAACATCCATGGTGTCATTATGTGTGCAATGTGTCAACAGCGCCAGCCGCATTCAGGGTTAAACACAAATCAATGGCCTTTGTCTGGTGCTTCCCAATACACATAGCTCCGCACGCTCTCATCTTTGCAAACCAATGTGAAAACATGCTATCGCCACATAACACATTTGCACCACTGCCTGTTTACAGTCATTGACAATATAACCACAGTATTATGTAGAGCACTATTCCAATATGTTTCTACCTAGGTTCATACTTTTCTCAATTTTGGTACATATATGTCTTTTGGTAATGTTTTATTTTTTATGTCTAAGTCAACTTGCTACTTCAACTATTACTTTCAATAAAAATGTATTGTTAAAGGTGTTCAATCTTATTAAAGGGTAACTATTGGTAGAAATGTCTTTTATTTTGTCCTTTCAGTTGCATATGCATTTAGTATATGGTTATAGTTAAAGTTCAGTTCAATGGTTCAATTCCTCTGTTTTTAAGTCACTGGGCAAAACATGATGCTTACAGCATATTTGGTTTGTTTTTTCTCTTGTATTTTTAGAACGGGCGAGGACATAGCATCTGAAGGCAAGCACTTTCGCATGGGTTCAATCACTATACCGGAGCCCCATGAACGCGTGCCCTTACCCCAGCCACATGCCCTCGCCTGCGGCCAAGGCTTCTCCGTGCGCTCCCAGTCACTGCATTCGGTCGGTGGGGGGAATTCTGGAGGAGGAGAGGAGGAAGTGGGAAGTCCTACCTCCAGGAAACAGCCCCCTCCCAAGCCCAGGAGGGACCCGGCCACCAAACTGAGCATGTCTTCTGAGGCAGTGGACCACAACCCCACGTCCACCTGCCGCGGGGACAGATGTGATGGTGAGTGGCGCTGGCACTTCACACCAGACTTGTGCGCTAAATATAGATGTTCTCCTCAATGTCTGCCTCAGCCTGGGTTCCTCAACAATGACATGACATCTAAGCTGGTTAATGCACACTCCACACCAGTCAAAAATGCACTCAGTTGCCTATGGCCCCAGTGGTACAATGATTAATAATAATGATGCAATAGAGCAGCAGGTCACATGCACACTGCAATGAAATATTCATGAGTTGAAAAGAGGTTTGAAAAGCAAAAACTGTCATTTTTTGAGTAAGATTATTTTAAGATATACACTCTACATAATTGTAATTGTAAAATGGGGGTTAGCTGTTAGGAATCACGAGCCAGTCCTAACAAATAGTAAGTATCTCATCAAGCTTGTGCAAAAAACAAAACAAAGCAAAAACTCCTGCCCATCTTCATCCATTCTGACTTGAACACAGGAAGATGCACTGTGTGTCAGTCCTAGGGACATCTGTTTACGTGTCTTGTTTGTCCCTCTTCCCTTGTGAGGGAATGGTAGGCATGTCCTCAAACAGTCTTTTATCTGTATGTTTGCTTTTAAGCTCTAGACTGTGGTCAAAACAGAAAACTATACATTGTGAGGGTTGTTTGTGTTGGGAGAGGACTTTTCCACAGAACTTTTTCCCAGATCAAGTGCAAATCACTGAACAATAGGAAGAAAACTATTTAGTGCAGTGACTTCAGAGGGGATATGGCAAATAGAAGATTGTTATAAAATGTAGCTCAATACCGCAAAAAGCCTAATTATGTTATCATGTATGTGAATCAGGCATGTTTCGCTAAGTCAGCATCTATACAGTAAAATTATCATAATTAATAATAGCAATATTAAGTTATTATGAGTACATAACCATTTAAAATTAAAAAAAAAAATTGAAGTGCGTTACAGCGTGGCTTTTTATATGTATTTTTTCTGTTTAAAATACATAGAGTAAAAAAATGCTTTTAAATCTTTATATTTACATATTTTATGCTTAAATTATTTTTTTTTAGTTTACGCTTAAGCTTACAAATTCAATAGTCCTAGAGACAGAACGATGAGAGAGCAGTGATTTCAGTGGCTTCAGGAAGCCATGACTCCATTTTAGTTTTCATTCTCTGTTGCCAACGTGATGTTTAGGGACTCGCCTAGCCTGGCTCAGATTGGTGGGGATCTCTCTGTATGCGCACAGATCTTCCTGGGCACCACGGCAACCATCCCACAGAAACAAGACCCCCTGTAGCCCAGCCAATCACAACATGACTGTGCAGCACGGACCAATCACACTCCAGAGATGCTGAAGCCTGAGGCTGAGCAGCCAATCAGAGAGCTCGTGTGGGGGTGTCCCTGGATGAGGGGAGGGTTGCGTGCTCTGTAGCTGGCGCTCAGGCGGGAAGAGGCGGAGCTTGTGGGTGCAAAATTCATTCAGGAGGAGCGATTGACCTAGATTCTGTTTTCCCCAGGAGGAGCAGGAGGGGGAGGGCGATGCGGGTAAACACATCCCTATGGGGGGAGGGGGAGAGGAAGGAGGAGAGAGAGAGAGGAGGAGAGGGGACAGCAACAAGAGATGTATGGAGAGTGGAATTTACTGTCAGCACTGAATCAGATTAAGATATGTAATTCACCGTGACATAGAAGAACAATATATCATGTGCAAACAGGAGTGGACCTTGGGAGATGATTCTCTTAAAAAATCATGAAAAAGAGACAAAGATCTGAACAATATTGCCCTCCTTGTTCCTTCTTTAATGCAGTTATAATTTCAAATCTTACATACAACAAAGCTGCTCATCATCTAACATTTACTGACTAACAGTTAACCACTGGCTGAAAAAATCTGAAATTGTAGAGAAACAAAAGAGCATCAAACTAGTATTATTTTTTATGTTTATTACTTATGTGGGTTAACAAATCGTTTATATCACAGCTTGTTCATACAATGAATACTTATATTTTCTCACTAAGAACATTATAGAGATTAACTGATTAATCAATTAACATCAACCAATTAACAATTAATTGATTAACAAATTAACCAAGAACCCCCATATATACAAAATACATTTTATTTAATAGGTCTCCCAGAAATAACGGAGAGAATTGAATCAAAAAGAACATCACTTTAAAACCAATTCCAAATGGCTGTCCAATATGAACTGATGTGCTTGCAATCTGAAGGGAGAAGTTATAAGTAAAGTAGCCTTAGCTTACATAAAAGAATAGAATGCTGAGAAGCATAGCAACTTCCAATAGCATTATTTCGGAGAAAACTGCACCTGCACAACCCTGCAGCATTTACTAGAAAGGTGCATTAGCTTGTGTACTAAAAAAAAACATGTCTATACATAGACACTATTTGAGAAAAAGGCAGATAGTCACTTTTGGGGAAAGGCTCTAAAACTGTGCCATGCTTTCCTGAAAGCATATGCATTTACAGTCTGTGTGCAGCGATGGTGGTGAGTCAGTTTCGGGAAGAGAGCGTGTGTCTATGCCATCTGGCTTCTGAATTATTCAAGGTAAAAAATCCACAGTTTGAAGATTTCAAACATGGTCCAGCTTTTAACTACACTTATCTGCCCCCTGTCAGAAAAAGGGAACAGTCCAACCCTAGCATTGCTGCTCTGACCTGAAAATACAGCACACAGCTCACTCTAATGTAAAGAGTGAGTAAACTACTATTAGGGCTACAGTAGAGTCTTGATTCTGCGCAGCACATCTGAAGAGCTTCACTCCGCAATGCTACGTCACCACTATCAGAAAGAAGCTCCACAGTGTGTGACCCAGATTCTATATTCACATACTGCTACGTTGCTATATATGACCTAGAAACAAGCTTATGCTTCAACTATTCCCACTTATATGACTAATAACATATGCTTTTAGTTGTAACAATTGACCTACCTTTGACCCGTACTACTGCCAGCATTAGAATTTTAATCTAATTACGACTTCTGCAGAAAAATAATGAATGTTTGAGTGGACTATTATTGTGTGATCCTTTAACAGTTGTACTTAACTATAACCAGATGAGGGAAGGTGTTAAGTGTTTAAAATTGTGCTTGATGATATTGGATTGTACTCCATGAAGTACTTTTGCAGCAATGATTTTGATTATGTTCATAATAAGTGAATGAATGTGAAATATAAAAAAAAAAAACAGTGGTACAGTGCAAGACAGGACAAGCTTCATTGCAAGTCACTGTCATTTGTATAAAGAGATAACTAAAGAGATAAAGTAATTAGAGAAACTTTTGACAAATAAATGCATTATGATTTTTTAATAACTTGGATGTCTTTATTTTGGCAGCACCACAAGGATGCAGTGAGGACTGCAAAAGGGTGCCACCACCAAAACCTAAGAGGAACCCCAACACTCAGCTGAGCGTTTCCTTTGACGAGTCCTACATCAAGAGCCACAGCAGCAGCGGGGGGTGCACTCCCAAAGCCCTGCATCATGTGACCTCACCTTGTGACCACAGCACATCCTCCCCTCACAGCGACGACAGCCCCACAGATGACTGTGAGGATGAGCCTGTCTACATAGAGATGGGAGGCATAGACATTGGGCCCAGGGAGCCTCTCAAAAGTGAGGATGAGGAGCCTGGGGAGTCAGTGTATGAAGAGATGAAGTACCCAATTTTAGATGACCATGAATATCGTACAGACCCTATAGGGTGTCGTTCTGCCTGTCCCACTCCAGCACCCTATGACCCAGAACCTCTCAGTCGCTGTTCCACCCCTCGCAACATTCCCCTATGTGACATTCCTGCCCCTTTCCCAAACCTGCTCACCCATCGCCCTCCTTTGCTGGTGTTCCCACCTGCACCAGCTCAGTGCTCGCCCAACTCAGACGAGTCCCCCCTCACTCCTCTGGATGTGACTAAACTGCCCATGCTGGAGAACCAGCAGTACAGTAAATCCCCCACATCATCCTCAGAGCCCCCCTCTTCAGCACACATCCGCCGAGAGCTGACCGCCACCCCGACCCTCACCGTGTCAGGGCGCTCTTCTGCTCCTCCTTTGCCCTGTACACTGTACAAATCATCCTCTTCTTCAAACTATCAGCGCAGCCACTCAGCCTGTCCTTCACCAGTCAGCATGGGCCGCTGCCTGACCCCGCTGAGCCTCATGCGTACTCCTGCCTTCGATGCTCCAATGCCTTTTCCAGGGGGCCTGCCGCGCAGTGCCTCTGCCACTCCTCATGGGAAAGGATCCCCACCACAGGACTCTGCTGGACGACTCCATGGCTCTATGCAAAATGTGTCAGCAGGACGCTCTAGGACCCCTACAAGCCCACTGGATGAGCTCACCAACTTGTTCACAACAGGGAGGAATATGCTGAAGAAGAACGCAAGTGGCAGGAAGTCCAAAGAGCCCGGAGAGAGTGAGTCATTTACTTTCTAAGCAGTTTATGCAGTAGTTGCAGGGTCAAACAGGTGTCATCGCCTCTCTAGGAATATTTCTCACACAGTGATATAGGAGCAAATTCTGTCACGCTACTTATGCCAGGGTTTGAGCAATTTTAGATTTAGTTTGAACTAAATGTTCCTGCATGTTTATACCGCTAACACAGTTTATGTGGACCCTGCCAAACAAGTCTTACAGAGATCGTATGATTTAATCTGTGGGGATTAGAGAATAAAGCAGACAGCAGCTCTAACCTACTCATGGCATTTAGCCATCAGCTGCTATTAATTCAGAATATGTAAACATCCTTTTAGATACAGTTAGCCATGCTGCACTCAAGACACTGTCAGTCAAACTGTGACACAACTAAGTCTTAAAATTATCTGAAAGCATGTTTAACTTGTTTAGAATTGTTTGATATTTCAAACCAAATGTTAAAAACTATGAGGGGTTAATCATTTTTTTTTTAATTGTGAAGAATATTCATATCTCTTAAGTGTGGCTTAAACTAAAGCCAAAATGTACATACATTATATCATTAAAAACAATATATTTTTTATAAAAATAACATATCTACGTATCCTTACTCAATACACTTAGCAACTACAACATAGCAACAGTAGAAGGACGAAATCCCAGTTTCTTATTTGTAGATTCCCTCCCTATGGGTGGTTCATCCAATCAGAGCTCAGTGCATGACTGCTGCTCACAGTGTAGTTTCTCTTGATGGGTACAACTGAAGCTCTGAGCTCAAATCTACACCTGATCAAAAGCTCTCTCTATCTGTTTCCTATCCACATTTACTCTGCTTAAGAATGCCAATGTGGAAGCAGCAGCACAAGCCTGGACTGTAGATAGTGAGGCAGTGTAGGCCATGTTACTTTAAGACCTATACACTTTAGGTTGACAGCTGTTAATTATTGTATGTCAGTGGTATTGCAGGCCCATATTCAAAGCAAGACTTCTTAGATATGTATTTACAGGGAGCAGTTTGTTCCCTAAACCCACAAGGCATGTAAACACTTCATAGTATATGCATATGTTGAGTAGGCAGGTTGTGTTTACTAGTCTTTGTAAATGATGCATGTGCCTTATATTCTAACACCTGTGTGCGCTCCACATGGGGCCATGGACTGACAGGTTGAATATGTTGCTATGCAATGAGCTGCAAACCTGAATTAATAAGTCCAATCCTCAAACATGAATGAGGTTAATTTTTCCTTTTTCTGAGGCAGTGATGGCAGTGGCCTGACCCACTTACCAGCTGCTCACTCACAGCGCACTGAGCATGCTCATGCAGTCCTATGCCATCCACATCATCACACATGTGGCTGTGACAGCGGATGTTTGCACATGTTAGACCATATACAGTAGAGCTTACGTCAAGATCAATCATGCACATGTAATTTTAACTATGCACTGATAATATATAATGTCTCCAGTGTGTTTAGGACCGGTGACATACATACGCTACAAGGACACATACAGGGTCATTGTGTGTAATAGCTTTTCCAATGATATAATAGTGATAGATAGATATTTAATAGTGAATATATTTTGATTTAATTAAAATATTTTAAATTGCAAATTATAAATGTCTTTCGGTGTTCTTTCTTTACCTTATTGCAGTGGCATAGAAATAGTAGCCATCTTAAAATGTGTTCGGAGTGACCCCTGGTGGTTTTTCATGGTAAAACAAGTGGATGGCAATTATTTTCAATGCATCATATACTCTATGTTGTCTGTCTGACTTTGAAATTTAAACAGTTTCAAATATGTTTAGAAAATTTGAGTTACATATGTTATGACATTAAAATTAAAAAGAATGTAAATTCATCACAGATGCAAAGGTTGTTATTTTGAGTAAATAAATAAATTCACATTAAGGTGACATTACAATAAAAAAAGATTAGAAACAATGTTTGTCTTAATATTAACATGTCTCCTCTCTTTCAACAGCTGAGTCTAAAAGCAAGTCTCATGGTGAATCTAAGCGTGAGGGGAAGGAAAGGCATAGCCATGGCCACAGTAAGGAGTCCAAGCGAGAGTCCAAGGATCGCCACGGACACAAAGAGTCCTCTCACCGGAGAGACAGAGACAAAGACAGGGATAAGGACCGAGACCGCGAGTCCCTGTCACACCGACGGAACAGCAAAGACCGGACATTAGACCCTCCACCAATCCGCAGGGACAGCAGGGAGAGCAGGGACCAGGGCTGCAGCAGTGTGGAGCCCATTCTGGTTAGACGGGATTCCAAAGACAGGGGCTCCTTAGAACCTGCTGGTATGATCAGGAGAGATTCCAAGGACAAAGGCACAAGCAATGGGGACATGATGGTACGGAGGGACAGTAAAGACAGGAGTGTGGGACACTGTGTGGAACCAGTGTCAAGACAGGACAGCAAAGACAGAGAGAGACTGTCCGATCACCCGCCCGAGCTCCTGCCAAAACAAGAAAGTAAAGAGCGGGTGAGGAATGGGCTGGACTGTAGACACGAGAGCAAAGAGAGATTGAGGGACCAGCCACCTGAACTCTTGCCCCGACAGGACAGCAAAGAAAGAACAAGGAATGGGTTGGACTCACACTATGAAAACAGAGACAAACCACCAGAGCTTCTTCCTAGGCAAGACAGTAAAGACAGAGCTAGAGGGGGGCTAGATTACAGACAAGAGCAAAGACCGGATCTGTTACCAAGACAGGATAGCAAGGAGAGGATGAGGAGTGAGTTGGAACATAAGCATGAAGGTAGAATAGATCAACCACCTGAGATTATTCCCCGACAAGAAACATCCAGAGGTCATAAAGAGAAAAATGGCTACAGCTTTGAGTCTAAACAGGATTTGAGGAACTGCCACAATGGAGGGGATTTGCCTCCACCTCTTCTGCCTAGACAGGACAGTAGAGACCTCAGTAGAACAGGCCTAGAGGTGAGGCGAGATAGTGCTGATCGAAATCTGAATGGCTCTGATAAGCACCACTATGATGTGAAACATACCAGGAGCCCCACAGCACGAGAGTACAGGGGTGATAATAAAGAGCAAACATACAGGCCAGACAGCACACCACGACGAGAGCACAGAGGAACTAGCACCATGGACCAGTCAGCACAAGACAGGAACAGTAGCACAATGCCAGGGCAGCCTTCATCCACGACCACACCCACTCGCCAAGGAAGATCCAGTGGAAGCCCGCCAACCGCAGGAAATGGTGAGAATCGTTTAAAGCTTTATCTATCTTATTCTAAACTAAACAATTATAACATAATAAACTGTTTTTCAACTCTAATAATATTCATATATAACTTTTACTTGATAGAAATTAAAGGAGCACAAAAATATGGTCACTCACCCTCTGTGTCTGCGAACCCTTCTCCAATGGGCACCCCACAGAAAAGAGTATCTGAAACTCGGGTAAGATGTTTTCATACTAATTATGAATGTTTATTAGAAGGTAATGTGAACAGTCCGCTGAATGTGTTTTACTGCCCTCAGATGCCACAGATGCCCTGGGTCTGTGGGGACACAACCATGTTGGAGCAGATCGAGAGGAAACGCACTCTGTGCCAGGAGATCCGCTCCAGACAGCACCCACAGCTGCAGAAGTCTCTAGAGAGGCGGTCCCCAGACCGCAGTGATGACAAGCATCAGGAGCACAATCAGTGCAAGCAGGAAAGCACAGCTGTCCTCCCAGGCTGGGGCAGGAACAACGGGGCCAAAAAGATCCGTCCTCCCCCGTACCCCAGCCAGAAAACAGTATTCTGGGACACAGCCATCTGACAGTAATGACACACCAAACACCTCCCTGCCACACAACCCCATATTACCCCAGCCCTCTTCCCTTGGGCTTGTCCTTAAGTGCCCCTGCACATCACACCGGGCAGACCAGCCTCCTAGAGCACACAGGGGTTAGACATGATGTCAAAGGACAATGGTGGACACCATAGCAATATTTCTGCTTGTTCAGGTTGTCATGTTTTCTTATCATCACTGGTGATATTTGATATTTTTCTATTTCCTGTGACTGGATACTTGTAAAATAATGAGTAGAATAGATATTTGATGAATAGATATTTTCTAAATGAGATGACAATTTAAAATCAACTTAAATTATGTATAGTAGATAGTAGATGGAATCTAATGTTTTTGTTTCTGTTATTTTACATTTCAAAGCATAATCTATCAATACTCGTACTGTAGTAGCATAATTTCTTATGCCCAACTCTTAGAGGCACTCTAATGAATGGACAATTGAATTCTGTCTATATTATATTCTTTACTGCATTTTACTGTTGTATTGTAAATGGCGGCGTTGCGTCAGCGTGCTTTAGATTCCAACGCCCCTCATGCCTGGTCCAGTCTGTTCTAGAATGTACAACAGTCAATCCTAGAACACAACAGGAAATTCTGTGTGCTGCAGTTTGTATTTTACAGTAAGAGCTGTGTAGTCACTGTGTCCAAGCCTTTCAAAGCAACTCAACGTTTGTTTTTCCTCAAACTGTTGGCTGGCATGTTGTAATGTAGCAACAGAGAGTGTGACATGTTTTTGCTGTAACCTTGATAAACTTTGAGGGTGGGTTGGGAATTTAGTAAATTAGAACATACATTATTTACAGTATGATTTGCAAAACCAGCCAAAGCCTATTAAAGCGAGAGGGGTGTGGTTGCACTTTGGATAACTGATTACTCAAAATAGGATTGGTGTCGTGAGCATCATGACACAGTGTAAATACTGGATGCCAACAACCAGCCCGTACAATCAACACCTGAGCTTTTAGTACAGTCCTTAATTTTACTGCAGATTATAGCCATATGCACTTGCTTAAGAAATGATTTTGGAGATTATGCTTATATATGTATTTTATAAAAATGACTATGAGTGAAGAGCTGTGCCATGGAAGTTTGACTCATTGGCAGAAAGGTTTAGCCTCAGGAGAATGGCTGTGTGCCACACAGTCGTATATTGGTTATCTGGTCTGACATTCCCAATCTGATTGGCTGGAAACCAATAATAAGATCAAAGAGAAGAAGGACCTATAACATGGCAACGGCTCTGCTCAGTTACAATGACAATGGTTGCACAAGGGCCTACAAATATTTGTTAAAACAAAACTGCACTATCCATCATCTTCCATCACATTTGATCAGGCTGGTTACATACCTACATAATCTTGTTCCTTGCTCTCTCCCTCTACCTCAGCCTCCCTCACACATCATCCAAACTGGTTCTCATTTGCACAGTGAAATGCAATGTGTCCAAAAAGCATGGTCTTACCAAACGCGGGCCCACAGATTGCAAGTGCACTACCCCTTTTGTTTTGAGAGCCACCGTGACAGAGGTCCTTATGTTGTGTACATGTGTCTATGAGGGAGGGAGCTGTGTGAGTGTGCCAACACTGTATGCAAGTCGAATCTTTCTAATGATTGTTTTAAGATATTCACTTTGCCCTCTTCATGATGTGGTGGGTGGACGTTGGAAATGTAATAATGATGATGTACAATCTTCTTGTGTGTATAAACGTGCACTGTGAACAGGTAGGGAGAGCACCGCACTGTCAGAGTCCTCTGTCTTATTGCACTGAGTGTTCTCTTGTTTTGGATAATAAAAAAGGAAAATGTGTCAGAGGAAAAAAGTACTGTATTCTGATTGTCACATGGGTTCTGTTGAGAGAAATAAATAAATATAAAACCTGTTATGACAACATTTGAGTTGGAGTTTTATCATGATAGTTTCGAGCATGTGTGTCAACAGAAGTACTGGTAGTGTTATGTGATCCAGAGGCATGTCATTTCTATAGTTTACAATCACAAGTTATTTTTAGCAAGTAAAATGTGTTTAATTTATTCACATTTTGATTCATATACCAAAATCCAAAATAGTAGAGTTCATTAAGCACTCATGGTATAACAGTGATAAGTATAAAACTTTGTAGTTCCTTTCATGCAGTAAAATGTAGAATCTTGTTTTGTTGATACATAATCATTATATTGTTTGATAAAGAGAAACAACTTTGTATGGAAGCAGAGGTTAATCAGACAGTATTCCTACTTCTATGATGACTTAATTTTTATGAAGATTGTGAAAGAAGTAGAAAGTAGTAAAACATAACCTAAATTTGGTCAGCCACCGCTCAAGCAGGAGTCAACTTTTGGCCACAGACAGTCGCTGAGCCTGGAAGACAGCCCTGGTTCACACTCATCGTACTCTTGTTTTGTACTTGTGAAAATAGAAGATGCCCTCCCCACCACAGGCTGCCTGAGCCCTGTCGAGGAGACAAGCAAATTACAAGATTACTCACTGAGGAGTGTAGCTTTGCACTGTCTATTTAAGTCATTGTGTTATATCAGGTGTCCACTTCGAAGGTAAAGCATTTCAGATATAACCTATAATTTATTTAAACAGGAAATTACAAGATATATAAGAGATAATGGCATCAGATAAATACATTCAATACATCACTGATTAATTTAGGATTTCAGGATTCAGGATTGTTGCTGCAGTCTTTCAGTCAGTCAATCCTTCATTATCTTGAGTATGGAGTTACAAAAAAATTATCTCCAAACATAATTTCTTCATTTATTTTTAAACAATAATTTACATATTGTGTTACTATATTATGTTCTCCTGTCACTATCAACTGTTGACATAAATGCCATAATAAAAGCATAGTGTGGTGGCCTGTGCATATCTAAAACATTGGTTTGGGTAGGTTAGAATTATGCATACATAACATTCGCCACCAGGTGGCAATAAACTACAGTACAATAGTAGTATAGTAGGAGTATAGTACAATGCTTAAGATTTGACTATATCTTGTCTTAAGTATTTTTTCTATATATATAATGGTGTTGAAAATAGGGTAACAAGTAAAGAACATTTGGTAATTAATAATAATTGCTGTTGTTATGTTATGGAACCAAATCAGGTCAGAAAGCCTTTATTTCTACAATGTATTCATTAAACCAATTAGCCTGTTTACATACCAAATAATATTACGTTTTTAAACTCGAGATTGTGATTAACTTTCATTTTTATTTTATGACTTTAATTTTTTTTTAACACATTTTCTGGATTTTTCTTGTTTCTATGGCCCTCTGGAATTTTCTTAATTTTCCTTCCAACAGAGGGCAGTAACGCTGCGTTTTATTTGGGACTATTTACGTTTTGGAGAGGATCATTCAAATAAAATAAGGAATACATCTTAATTATGTTTTTACTGTGAAATTTTCTGTCATTCTTTGCAGTTATTGCAAAACAGTTTGTTTTCATTACACCAGACATAACAACATGGACACAAGGTGACTCATTCTAATTTGTGTAATGTTTTAGGAATTAGCACGACCTAGAGATGACCTGCAGAGGAGTATGGACTGTGGCCATGGAAGCAGCCGACGTCTGCTCTACGGAGTGATATTTTTTAGACTGAAATACCTTAATGACTATAGTCATACTTTTTTTTTACTGTGTCTGTTATTGATATGCCTCGTTTCTGGTGTTTATATGTATCATTTGAGTCGCACTATATAGTATTTCATCAAAGTAATTCTAAACAAAAATGTTTGATTACCAGACATATAATAATCCAAATATTAAAAATAAGCATTTTACCTACCACCCATATCCATTAAAAATAGGCTCCTGTTTTGTCACCTGTACCTGCAATACGTTTTGTTTTGATTTGCTGAGCTGACTTCAGCTCTAACAGTGAAATAAATGACATTTTAATCTCATCCTACTTTTTCTGAGTCTATTATTAGGGGGTTTTGTCACTTCTCCCTGGACCAGATGGGTCTCCAGGTGGGCATTTATGAGACCAGTGACATCCTGTCTTCCTTTCTCTACATGGTTTCCTCCTCTTATGTTTCTTCCCTTTTACTTTAAATACAAATATTTTCTTTAGGCTACTGACCACTTGACTTTCTCTTGTATGGGCCATTGGGTTTCTGTATAAATGACAGTGTTTAGTGAAGAAGACAATAGATGTCATGTGTGGTGTAATAATGCTGATATGAAAATAATTAAAGGTGCACTAAAGAACTTGCTTAGCCTAGCTCTCTCCAAGGAAATGTTATTGCTTTGCCTATGTTCCACAGTATGACATTAAACTTTTCCATCATGCATTTATTTGATCACAAGTTGTTAAAGTAAATACCTTGAACATAACATTTCCATGAAGATAAGCAGGTGGCACACATGCCCAGAGCTTTATTTTGTTTCATTCACAATGCTTAACACACAAACCATGCATATTTCTTCTCTCAAACTGAAAACCCTCTGCTCCAGCTTGTGATGTCATGTAGTAATACAGGATGTGCTTCACTGTGTTTTAAACCCCTTACACCTTCACTGGAACAATGTGGATGGTTTCAGCCCTGGAATTTCCTCTCTCTACCAAACTAATGATAAATGATAGCTTTTAAATTGACAACTACTACTTAACAGCATCACAAGGTGGAACAGGACATTTTGAGCTTTAGAGATGTATACAAACTGATTATTATAAACATGTGTAAATGAAACAAAACACAACTCCAGGTATGTTCTTGATGAAGTAACAACATTCTAGCATGACTTAAAGCTCACAAGAGTCAACACTTGTGTAATATAGGACATTTAAGTGGCAGCTTGAAAATATTAAACTGTGTTTTCATGTAACCTTTACTGACCTCTATTGTTTTGCACTAAAATGCATGGTCAGTGACACAGAGTAATGTTATTCATGCTTGATCAGGCAGGCATCTGTGTAATTAGACAGCAAATGATGATGTTTCAGCTTTTAAGACTGTTATAATCATTACCAATCAATGCTGTC